TCCAATTTGATAACATGCTCCATCAGTCCCAGTCCAGCTGGCCTTGGTGCGTTCCCATTAGATCGGCCCCACCGTCACAATGGGTGGGCATACCCTCGTGGCCCTGATTTCCTTGCTCATGTTCTCCCTCGTTCTGCTCCTCATTTGGACCTTGGAAGCTCAGTCCAGTGCTCCAGTGTGGGTCTCTGTCTCTATCTCCATCCATCACCAGATGAAGGTTCTATGGTGATATTCAAGATATTCATCAGTGTGGCTATAGGATAGGGCCAATTCAGGTGCCCTCTCCTCAGCTGCTCAAGGAACAAGCTGGCGACATCTCCTTGGACACCTGGGAACCCCTCTAGAGTCCAGTCTCTTGCCAACCCTCAAATGGCTCCCTTAATTAAGATATATATTTCCCTGCTCCCATATCCACTCCTCCTCCATTCCACCTGTCCCACCCCCCCCAAGCTCTCCCCATCCTCCCCTTCTCACTTCTCTCCCCCCATTTCCCTTTACCCCTGTCCCACCCCCACCCCCAAGCTCTCAATTTTTGCCTGGAAATCTTGCATACTTCCAATATCCAGGAGGATAACTACATATTTTTTGTAACCCACTTCTATTAATTTCTGTATTGCCACAAGACTGTGGCCTAACGGTAAGGACATCATTCTCCTTTGGCAGCTACATAGTGTCTTCTTGACTGCCTACTCTCTCTCTATTTCTCTGTTCGGTTTTCCTGCCTCATTCTACTCTGCTAAGCCATTGGCCCAAACAGCTTTATTCATCAACCAATAAAAGAAACACATATACAGAAGGGCATCCCACGTCAGTGGTCCATGGTTGATTGGTTCCATTGCTTTTAAGTCTGTGACTGTGACAAGGTAGGAACACAGTGAAAAAGTCAGCACGAAGCTGCTCATCTCATGGCATCCAGGAAAGTCAAAAACTCTCTCTGTCTCTCTGTCTCTGTCTCTGTGTCTGTCTCTCTCTCTCTGATTTATTGTTCAATAGTACAACTTATACTGACCCACTTCCTCCAACTAGGCTCTACTTTCCAATAGCCCTTTTAGCTAAGAACTCTCCAATGGATTAATCAATGGATGAAGCTTATATAAACACGACCCAATCATCTCTCAGAAGTGCTCCTGAAAGCAAAGTCATCCACACATGAGCATTCCCTGTAGGGTGACACTCCGTAACCGAACTGTAATAATCAGCATCCCTCGGGTATTTCAAAGTACCCTAAAAGTTTCTGTTTTTTTTTTCATGTGTGAAACAATGCTATGTGAACCGTCATTGAAAATGGTAGAAACTAAATTTTAGTTTTAAACAACAAAATCTATTTCCCCTTAAAACAAATCTCAAATACAGTTAATTTATGACAAATATTAGCTAACCTATTGCTAAAGGTACAAATATCTCAGCTTGTTATTCTAAGAATAAGTAAGTGCCCTAGCATATCTTGCAGACAGCACAACATTGTCAGTAAAAGTTTCGTGGCTGGCTTGGTGTTTATGGTGTTTCTGTTTTGATAGCATGCATTGTTCCTTTTTTTATCAAAGGTGCTGGAAAGTAAGGGTGACAACATAGAGCCTTTTCCTCTCTTCTTTCTTTTTTCCTTTCTCTCTTTCTCCCTTTCCTTCCTTCCCCTCCTCCCCCTTTCTCTCTCTCCCTCCCCTTTTCTCTTTCTCTCTCTTCTTTTTTGAGATAGGGTTTTTTTTTTTGTGTATCCCTGAATGTCCTGGAACTTGCTCTGTAGACCATGCTGGCCTCAAACTCAGAGATCTGCCTGTCTCTGCCTCCCAAGCGCTGGGATAAAAGGCTTGTGTCACCACCACATGGTGACACCTCCATTTTCAATGAGCTGTGTAGCTGTTGCCTTCAGCAATGGGGCCTTGCTGTCAGGTTGTGGAGAGTAACCTATAATTTTGGCAACAGTCCAGGTTGCTTACAATGGATTCACATGGGGCCCCTTTAGCCAACAACCCATTTAGACATAATCTAATCCCACCACTGGATGCTTCATTTAGTGGCAGGAGATAGCCAGTTTGGTCTCTGCACCCCCAGTAAATATTTGGCTATATCATTTACATTACTTTCATATATGTTTATATTTTATGAAGTTTCTACTGTATTAGGTTTGCATACTACTCCTCAAATGACCCTTAATATTAGCTTTCTCTCCCTGGGTTGCCTCCCACGAATTCCCCTACCCTCTCTCTCCCATTCCAGCTCCCCACCCATATCTATTATCTATTATATTTCCCTTTACTAATGAGATCATCTGTTCCCTCTAGTCCAGTATTTCTAATGCTGTGACCCTTTAATAATGTTTCTTTGTTGTGGTAACCCCCATCATAAAATTATTTCAATGTTACATCATAACTGTAATTTTGCTACTATTATAAATTGTAAATATCTGATATACAGGGTATCTGATATGTGACCAATGAGAAGAGATCATTCAATCCGCAGAGGTCTTGCAACTTACAAGTTGAGAGTTGCTTCTTTAGTGCTTTACTTTATAACCTATCCTCTGTGGGTCTAATGAATTATAGCTTGATTATCGTTGACTTTACAGCTAATACACTCATATAAGAGAATATATGCCATATTTGTATGAGTCTGGGATACAACACTAAGAATGATTTTTTTTAGTTTAATATATTTGTTTGCAAATTTCACGATGTCAGTTTTTTCTTAATGGTGAGTGATACACTCCACTGTATAAATATATCGCATTTTCTTCATCTATTCATTTGTTAAAGGACATCTAGTTTGTTCCTAATTTCTGGATTTTATGAATAGAGCAGTAATGATCATGGTTGAGCAAGTGTCTCTGTGATAGGATGAAACATCCATTGGGTAAATGCCCCAAACTGGTACAGCTGGATGTTAAGGTAGATTGAGTTTATCATCTTCCTGAGGAAGTACTATACTAATTTCCATTGTGGCTGAACAAATTTACACTCCCACCAGTAATGGCGGAGGGTTCCCCTTGTTCACATCCTGGCCAGCATGAGTTATCACTTGTGTTTTGATCTAAGCCATTCGGACAGGTGTTAGATGAAAGGTGTAAGATCTCAAAGTTTTTTTTGATTTACATTTCCCTGATGATTAAGGCTACCAAACATTTCCTTAAGTGTTTCTCAGCCAGTTGAGTTCCCTCTATTGAGAATTCTCTGTTTAGTTCTGTACCCCATTTTCAATTGGGTTATTTGTTTTCATGATATCTGGTTTCTTGAGTTCTTTATATATTATGGATATTAGCCTTCAACTACATGTGTAGTTGATGAAAAACTTTTCCCATTCTGTAGGTTGCTGCTTTGTCTGATGATGGTGTCTTTTGCTATGCAGAAGCTTTTCAGTGTCATGTGTAACTAACTGACCAATAACTGGTTTTTCTGAAGACCCACTCCACAAGATGGAACCCATTTCCAAACTGTTTGGGCAACCAAGAACTGAGACTAGATATCTCAGGGATAAAACTGAACAATACTTTTCTAAAAAGGAAAAAAAAAGCTTTAGTGATTAAATGACTCCTAATGATAACTCTGCTACCCTCATAGATCAGTGCCTGTTCAGCTGTCAGAGAACCATCCTCCTGCAGCAGAGAGGAATAAATAAAGAGATGCACAGCCAGAAATTATGCAGAACCTGAGAGACGTTGGAACATTTAGCCCTAAATAGGATGTCTCCATCAAATCCTTTCCCTCAGAGCTCAGGGAACCCTGTGGAATAGGAGGTTGAAAGATTATAAGGGGGCGGAGAACTCCAAGAAAGCAGGACCTTCTAAATCAACATAAGCAAAGCTCATATGAACTCACAGAGACTGCAGGAGAATGCACAGGGCCAACAGGGGTCTGCAGCAGGTCCTCAGAATAAATATTGTGGCTTCCAGTGCCATCTCTTGGGGTCTTTTCCCTCTGTAGTTTGCCTTTTACAACTTCAGTGTAAGTTTTTGTTTCATCTTTTTATATTTTATTTTCTTATATTAAAAATGAATGAAGGAAAGAATGAAAATCTAGCCACTAGGGTAAGTTAACAACTGAAATATCACTTATTCCTGCTGGGGGATGGAAAATCAGTTTTCTCTAATAGAATGACAAAGGGTCATTTCTCCAACAGAGTGATGACATCAGCCACTCCAGGACAGGCCTCATGTTCAGGATTAGTTCACCAATATATAATAGAATCCGAGGGTTTTGTGTGTGTGTGTGTGTGTGTGTGTGTGTGTGTGTGTGGTATGTGTGTGTGTGTGCTTGTGTGCTTTTATTTGGTAACAGGTAGTTTTTTGGGGGGTGGTGGTGATGGTTTTACTTTGTTTCCTTGGTTTTGTTGTTGTATCGGGTTTTTGGTTTTGGGAAAAGAACTTAGAGCTCGGTGGTTAGGGAAGGGGAGAAAATCTGGAAGGACTTGGGGGAGGTGAAGAATATGATCAAAATATATTCATATTTAAAATGGTTTTAAATACAAAAAACATAATTTAAAAAAGAATAAGTGAGTGCAATCGATCCTTCAAGAGCCTTTCATGGCTGCAACTAGTCCTTTAATTTACATTTTGCTGGATTAGACACCAATTCATTTATTCATACTTTCAATCATATTCAGTTATTTTTAAAACCAAATGTGAATACAGATAGAGGTGGATATGTGTGACTCATGTCTGTCTCAATCACTTTCTTTAATATTATCAATTCCCTTAACACCTAGAGGAAATAAATCTGCTTCAAAACATGAGGCATGTTCTAAACACTTGAGGTGCCGCCTATGAATGCACAGAAGCAGGGAGATCTTCCCTTTCCCTTCCATCTCATGTTCACTTGGCAGGGCAGAAGGAGGGCTTATGCATCTCTTTCCTTTTATTATGTCAGCTGCCAGCTGCAGTCAACCTGATTCTACCAACTGGTGCCAGATTTCTCTCAACCAAGAACCCTGCATCGCAAAGCATGTATCCCTTGAATCAAAATGATGTTTCTGTGACTACTGAAACATGGGATGCTCCTTTTATTATTCAGGAGGTGTTTGGCTACCATACCCAGAGTCTCCGGAGAGCCCTGTGCCTCGTCACAGCCATCCTGACTCTTGGCGCCCTTCAGCTGATGTTCTACTGGAGGCCTGAGTGGTGGGTGTGGACCAGTTGCATCCCGTGCCCTTTGCAAGAAGCAGACACAGTTTTGCTGAGAACAACAGTACGTACTTTTCTGTTATCCATTTCAAATGCCATGATCATCACAGAAGGATGGATACTGCCTGTCCGCACTTACACACGGATGTTATGAAGTTGGCATTGTAGACTATTGATTCCCAGAGCCTGAGTAGGGGTAGAGGAGATAGAGGGGAAATGATAAGTAGGTTCAAGGCTACAGTTGGATAGGGGATACCTGCTAATGTCCTGTAGCATTGCAGAATAATGTGGCTGAGAGCAAATTTTAAAAACAGTGGGTGGAGAGGATTTTGAATGTTCCCAGAAGAAAGAAATGGTAAATTTCTGAAGTGGTAAAGAGGCCAATTACTCTGGTCTTGTCTAATCATATATACGGTATATAAATGCTTAAAATTCATTACGTACCCCATTGTTGTGGGAGTGTTCCTGAGGAGACATGAATAACTGTTTATTCATTAACAACAGACCAAAAGAATAATTTCTCCCAAGTCCAGTTTAGTGATATTACATATCACACACACACACACACACACACACACACACACACACACCTTAAAGGATTGTGGGTGACCCACAAGTAGCTGCAACACTGAAAATCCCACCCCTTTCTTAGAGCTCCTTGCTTTATCTGAAAACAACTAGGTAGGTTGGAGAGTCTTCTCTTTCAACCAATTGTTAGGGCTTCTGCAGCTAGTGGGAGGGGCCTCAGAAATCATGTAAGTTTCAGGAACTTTTTCAGATTTGTGAGTTTTGCTTATTTCCTGAGTTTTAAAGGAGAGAATGTTTCAGTTTAGAGGAAATGGCTACAAAGACCCATAAATACATGCAAGTACCTTCTCTCAATTTAAAATTTAAATATAACTTTTTTAAAAAAAGTACTGTGCTCATGTCTTCAACCCTGCATCTGTAGTCTAGCAATGACTAGTCAATATTCCAGAGATCCAGAACAAATCTCATCTGTTCAGTTTACCCAGGCCAGAACAAGAGAAAGAAAGACTATCTCTGCAAGTTTCTTCTTATTTATCTCTTGCCCCGCCCAGGAATGTTAACACTTTCTTCACTTCAGCCTGGGTAAAATCTCTCATATTTTAGGTTGAAGCATGTTGCTCATTGCCAGTGCATGGGCAGTGGCTGTCATTGTTACAACTCTCAGAGGCTACATAACGTAGGAATGCTCAATTTTCAACAATGCATGCTTTGGAGTATACTAGGTAAGGTAAGCTTGTGGATAGCTTTTAAAAGTATCTGAAGCCTGGCGTGGTGGTGCACACCTGTGGTCCCAGGCTGCGGGAAATGGGGCAGGCTAACCAAGAGGTTAAGGTCAGTCTAGACATGTGAATCCTAGTCTTAAAAAAAGTAAATAAAGTAATAAAAAGAAATATAATCATCTCAGAAAATTTCTAGACATAATACTTCCTTACGAAGTTTTCTCCCCCCATATCCAGTGTTTCTTTAAATCCTGTGTGTAGCAGAAGCCTCTGGAAGGCTCACTGAAACACAGACTGCCGGCTCCACTACCTGAGCTCCTCAATCCACCAAGTCTAGACTGTGCCTAAGAATCTGCCTTCTGACTGAGGTCTGAGACCGCTCTCTTGTTTGTTGACTTTTTAAGGATGAATTTCGAAGGTACATAAGGAAAAAAGTCTTCTGCCTCCACTTATCTGCACTGAAGTCCTCTAGAAGCAAGAACCCAGAAGAACCTCTGGTGGCGGACCGCCACTCGGTCATAAACCGAGCTGTAATGAAGCCAGAATTAAAAGTAAGCGATCTAATGTGTGGGCTGTCCTGGCACATTTGTGGAAAAAGAACAGAGTGTGCGCTTGCTGGTTAAAGCTCTGACTATAATATGCTTGGGCTGGACTGATAGCTAGGTGTGCGACCCACAAGGGAACCTGGGCCGCATCATTCCCCGTTGATCCGCTTTCCTTTGTGAATGACGCCTGACCCTTTCATGTTTGTGGTTGCAGCTACAATGCATCCAAGTGCAGAAAATCAGGTACGTGTGGGATTTCCTGGAGAAGCGCTTTCGGAAAGTTGGGTAAGTATAGCCTTTTCTCGCCACCACCTTAGGACGCAGCTGAAGACCACTGACTCACTGGAGGCTGTAAACTGATGTGTGGTTCCTATCCCAACTATTTCCTAGGTTGCTAGAAGACAGTAACTCCTGCTTCGATATCCACCACACATTTGGATTGGGTCTGACCAGTGAAGAGCAAGAGGTCAGGTAGGCTTAAGGATGCTTACTGAGCCTCACCCTGCTGGCATGAAGTATCAAATGGACACTCATCGGTGTGCTGCTGGCACAGTGCTTTGCCAGCTTGATGTCATTTGCTGGCATCAGAAAGACATTCTAAATTATCTTCTTAGGCAAACATATTCAAAAGACACAGAAAGAACAAGCGACTCAAGTAAAATACCGCCCGTCTCCTCAGGCTTGTAGAATAGGCTTTATAATATTCTTGAGTCTTTTCATAAACATTGGTTTCTTAATCTTCCTGCATTGACTGAGAGCCAAAAAGACGCTATCCGGATCATGCTTTGCTGCAAACCAACAGCTGTGGAAATGAACATTTTACTGTTTACTTGGCTGTGTCATTCCGCGTTGCCTATGCTGTACCTAGAATAACCCTGGACTCATGACAGGAGTAAAGGGCTCTAACAGGCCTGCCCACGGCAAACATGGGGCTGCAGTCCCTTCCCTCCCTCTCCCTTATAAACCATAGATCGTATCCCCTAAGCTAGTCACCAAGTTCTGTTCCCGTAATTGAACATTTTCTTATGCCAGAGTCATTCCGAAGGCTGATCACCGAGGTCCAGCTATCAAAGTATTGAAGTCCAGCAATCAAATGCCCCCTTTGGTTCACCTGATTAATACGCCCAATCAAAACACACCACCGCTTTCCTAGCCCATTCTAACCGAGGCCTCCCCTTTTCCTCTTCTTAAAGATCACACCTGCAAGGTCATTTGCTGCTCTTTGTCTGCCTGAGTCAGAAAGCCGCCACTTTAACTTTTCTTCCCCACTTAACTAAGGATCTCTGTGGTAAAAATAGGCATTTAGACATAGTTTGTGCCATAATCCAGGGTCCAGGGTCCAGGGTCCAGGGTCCAGGAGGGAGCACCGTGCTTCTTTGTGGGTCCCTGTATTACTACAAGGACTTCGAAGTTGTCGGGCACAAGACACCCGAAGACCAAGTTCTCAGCATGAAGGAGATTTATTTTCCCCAGAGGGACAAAGGGGAGGGAATAAGAGACAGAGATAGGAGACAGAGAATGAGGGAGAAGGGGAGGGAATGGGGGGTGGGTGGGGATGTTTGCCCTAGAGGGACAAAAGACTGCCTCTGGACAGAGAAGAGAAAGACGTGGCACATAGGAAAATCGTAGTTTACCAAGGTAAAGGGGAAACCCCATGTTAGGATGAGGTGTTTAATTTTAATTAGGCATGTTAATTAGGGTAGTCAAAAGAAGGCTTTTGATAGCTGGACTTTGGTGATCAGTCTCAGAAGGAGAAAGTGGCCAAATAAGGGAGGAGACCTTGTTAATCAGCCTTAGGAAGGTACTCTAACAGTTTTGCAAGGCAAAGGGAATGGGGGAAGGGCAAAGCCTGTCACAGCCATGTTTGCTCAGGCCAGCTCGCACCCCTTCAAAGAGCTCAACAGAAAAATGCAGCAGAAATAACTAAATGATGGTGTTTCTTGAGTTATTGTCAGTGTGTCCCTGATATGTCAAGTATTTTGCAAGAGAGGAGTGATCTAAAGAAAAAGACATAGTTATTGATGGGCAGGGAGTGGAATCATGAGGCTGGTGTCTGTATGCTGCTAGAGAGGAGGGGATGCCATTTAATTTACTAACCAAAGGGAAAAGTCCCTGCTTCCCCCGGCTCTCGTTTGAAATATCCAATGCTGGTGAGCTCCAAAGGAAACAGCTGAGCCCTTCTGATAATCTGTAGCTCCTTAGACACTTCCAGGGACACTATTTGCCAGACATCATTGTGATCCACCAGAAACATCAATTGTCAAACTAAGAGGAAACATGTTGGTTGAATCAGGGCTTCTGGGCTGTACTCCCACAGCGCTGCGAGTTCCGTAGGAGCATGACAGCAGAGATGAGACAAAGAGCGCTGGAATTTGAGCAAGTTCCTCACGCGAGTTCTTTCTTACATTTTAGATTTCCACGTAGCTTATGGGCATGTGTGTGGTAACGTAAACCTACAGAGCATGTGTAGCGTTCAGGAGACAGGTTTGCAGGAGGCGGTTCTGTCCTACCATGTGAGTAGCAGGAAGCTGGCTCAGGTTCACAGGCTTGGCAGCAGGAGCCTTTACTCACTGAGCCCGCCTGCTTGTTTGCCCACCACCATGATTCTTATACAAAGTCTAGGAAACGTGAAGCGTTGGTTTCAGTTTTTCCTTCGTAGACATACTATGAGAAGTGAAGCAGGCATCTATAACCCAAACAATATTGCAAAATGTGTTAGAAATGAATGTTTAATGTGCTGAGATACAGAGACTTTTCAAAGTCATTAAAATGAAACTTAGTTACTAATACTTAGTGCAAGATGTTTAGAAGATTGATCTAGAACATTTAAGAGCTCTTAATGATAGACGCCAACATATTCCGCACAAGAAACCATTTCCACAAGAAAGATTCCCCATCGGTATAGCTAGCTCACATTTGTCCTTATTTATCGAGTGCCAGGCTTTAATAAATATCATACATAATTAAATTTAAATCTGTTCCACACATAAAGAACTTGACAATCTAATAAGCAAGACAGAGTACAGTATCCCAAATATGAAGAATCGAGAAATAATCTCATAAGCAGAGGCATATTTTATCTTGTAGGCATGCCAGACTGAAGGACAAAAGGAGCGGGTGGATGTGGCACATTTTCCCTTCATTCTTTAGAGTAAGCTGAGGGGCCTTTCCAGAGAAATTAAAAGGGACTGATTGATTGGACAGCATGAGAATTCAATAACTGAATCTGAGCTTGCTTGCGTTAAAAACCAAGAGCTCACTGCACGAGACGAGGGAAGGAGGGCAGGCAAAAATCTGACAAAATGACACGTTACAGCATCTAAATGCACACACTTCCCTGTGGGGTTCCTAGCAGCCTGGCAAAGAGACGGGATGTAGGATGTTCATCATTCTCACTTTTCGGCAGCAAAAGCTTATCAGGCCACCAGGAGCAGATACATTGCAAAAGGCATCAAAAAGTGTGTAAGTAAATGATCTGGGGAACCGGCTTGTTCTGGTCCTCACTTTCTCACCAGCTGAACTCAGCTCTGCTTCATCGTAGCCATCCTGGACAGGCTCACTGACGGCTAAGTGATTCGTTTCACAAGAAGGGATGCTATGAAAACACCGTATCTATCTGATCCTCGCGAGGCTTTCTTACTAGAACAGAATTAGGGTATCTTTTCACCTTCATTGCCATTCAGCCCATCCTGCTCCTGCCCCTTTGCTTAGGCTCCTGAAAACAGAAAAGCAACCTGGAAGATGGAGGAGGGGAGAAAAGAGAAATCAGAACCACCATGGGATTTTGCTATGGTACTCCTCAGGTCTGGATGGGCACAAAGCTGGAAAGAGAAACAAGTTACTCTTATGCCTTTGAAAGTTGCACTCTGAGAGAATGGTCACACACACACTCAGCCTCCACAGCATCTTTCTAGGAAGGAGTAAGTGACAGTTGGTCGGAGAATGGGAGAAAAGTCTTACTCATCCCCTAGAAGCTAAACACATGATCTCAATCCCTAATGTTCAACTAGGAGCTAGGAAGTTATCTTAAAAGACTATCTATATTTTATTTAGAATATGATTTGATAAAGCCAAGTAAATTGAGGTCAATGGTCTCTTTTCAATAAGTTGGAATTTTCAGGTCTACAGTTTTGTGGGTCTGGGTCTGTTGGGAGTATAAAACCATCTAGCTCCAGTTCAGAAGCGTGTGGAGACAGCAGTGTGTGTAAGACCTGATGAGCCTTGTGGGCGGCATGACCGAGATGATGCCTAGATCTCACTGTACCTTCACCACAACTTTCTGGTTCTTTCCCTTCTGAGCCTTTCTATATGGAGTGCTCAGGCATTCTCCATCAGCGGAGACTCTTGGGAGCACCTCACTAGCTTGTACTGAGAGCCAAATTCCTTCATGAGCTGTTTCCCCCCGATTTTACGGAAGCTTGTAATTTAGGAAATGAAAGAAATAGATAGACAGCAGAGGGGATCGGGATGAAAAGCTAAGTAACTGTTAGTACACGTCATTTAGAGACATGGCGTTTCTTTATATCACTGCTTCATTAACGAACTTGGAGATTTATTCTAGTGAACAATCTCTCATGGCATACCCAAAGTGTTTTGTGATGGGGGATTTCTAGGACCAACCCACTTGTACTACGCAGTTATGCCCAAATACCAGACAACAGATGTCATAGCCTGGGCATCTTAGACCTCTGTTTCTTTGGAAAGCAGGAATTTTGAGGGAGGGAGGGAGGGACAGACTAGCAGACTCCCCCAGGAGCTTTCCCAATTCACTTTCCTACAGAATTGAGTCATGCTGGACTCTTCTGCTTGGCCTTGACTACTTGGGAAACTGGAGGAATCTCTCCTGCCAGAGATACCCTTGCAGGCCAGCAGGCTATCTGAATGGAAAGAGTGGGCAAAAGCTGAGGGCTTTTGTGAAGGTTGAGAAGGACACCAGGGATTGAAGCACACTTCTGCTTCATTGCTAAAGACCCCAACTCTAGTCGTCTGGGCTCCAGGGCCTCATACAAATCTCGCTAGCAATTCTTTGAGAGATATATTGATGTATTCATTTGGTTTATTCCTCAAAGGAAAATACTCCTAACCATTCACAGTTGGTATTTCAGAACCATACATTTTACAAGATCTGAATATCTCAGAACCCGAGGAAATCCCTTTTGAACCCAGACTCACAAACTCAAACTCACAGGGAGAATGACATCCCCTTCCAGAGTTCTCAGCTGTGGACCTGGTCATATCCACCCTCTGAGAAGGGGCCGTCTGCTATCACAGCAGTTTCTCCCCTAATTGATAGGGATGGATATTAGCAAAACCTACTTAGCTGTGTATGACCTACACTGTTTGGAAAGGCCACACAGAATGATCTCAGTCTCTTTTCTCTGACACCTCATCAGATCTTCAGTGGTGGCATATAGCTTTGACCTTTCCCTGTGTGACTTGGCATCAAGCCTAATCTTGCTTCTGGTTGCTCCACCACTGGTCAACATCCCTGAGAATTCTCTGTGGCTGGCTCTGAGATCGATATGGGTACACAATCTCTAAACATATGAGAATTTCCTTTGGCAAAGGATAGTAGACATGGCAGAAGAGCACAGAGCAGGCTGGCTGTGATTCCATCATGGTTCCAGATGAGCCCCAAAGAATCAATCACAGGCAAGGCTTGATCCACACTATCCCATCCTTTATGTTTCCATGACCTAAGCTCCTCCCTCAGTGGCAATATCAGGAACTATATTACCAGACAGGGAGAGACCAGAGGTGTTGAATCCTCAGCTTGCATTCTTAGGTGGATTTCTGTAGTATCAATATGTCCTTAGTTGTCCATCAGGGTTAAATTTGGAATCTTGTCAGGGGAGAGAGTACTGCAGACATGGGGCCCCATGATTTTTGCTAACTCCAAACTTTTGGGGAATATATTCTCTGTCTAGCCCCAGATCCTAGAAAAACAGATCTGCAAAAGCTCTCTTTCTGCCTTTAAAAACAGCTGAAGCAATTTGAGGAAGAAACATGTAAATACATGGTTTAATTCAATGAGGTAAGTGATTCTACTGAAAAGGAAAGTGTTGTTGAAGGAGAGAAAAAAATTGATTATGTCAGACAGAATCGTATTTTAAAGACAGCTTCCATTTATCTGGGATTTGCCATGTCCTCGGTACACTTTTGACAACTGCTTTGCATATTTATCTTACTAAGAGATTGATCAGAATTTTATTAGTCATATTTTATCAGATTCATTTCTCAGATGAGGGAACCAAGGTTTTGCCCCACCTCCAATTTGGCTGACTATTAATTTAAGCAGATAATTCGTGACTGAGTTGTATGTGTTAGACTCAACTTTAACCCTGCAGGATATATTAAGCATCCCTTCAAAAGTTATGTTTCTATAATGTCAGAAACCGCCAATTATCACATTGGGAGAAGAAGGCATGGACTGTGGAGACAGATATCTCAGTTGCGAAAGCACTTGCCCTGGAGGAATGAGGACTTGGGTGTGATCTCTAGAACCCAAGTGAAAAGAGCGAAACAATGTTGGTGCTTATTGGTTATCCCACTGCTAGGAATGGCTTATACACACACATGAATGTGCACATGCACCTGCCCACACATGTACACACGAACACACATGCTTTCAAAGAAGGCCTATGTTCAGGTACTCATATATGCTATAAAGAAAAGTAAGGTAGGTTAAAGAAATTAAGGAAAGTTAGGTAGGTCCTGCTCCTCCACCCTCTCCCAGTGCTAGGGAGCAAACCCAGGGTCTTGCATGTACTAGGCAAATGCTCTACCATGACATCATACCCCCAGGCCTAGGGGTGGGGGCGGAGACTGTTTTCCATAGGATTGTTATGGAAGGCCTCAAGAAGGAGAAATACTTTTTAGAGCCCTGAATGAAGCAAGTCACCCAAAAGATGCAAGGTCTAGGTAGAAGAAAGGGCAAGGGCAAAGGCTTGCTGGGTATGGAGGGAGGTGTGGTCACTCTCGCCATTCTGAACTACTTGGCTTGGTTCTCAGGTTTGGCTTTTAAAGGTTGAGTAGCATTTACAAAGAGAAGACTGTGGGCAAGCACACCATGCATGTGGGGTGGGGCGGGGTGGGGGAAGGTGAATGGACCAAGCCTTGGGTCTGAGAGGTTCTGACAGTTTGGCCAATAACTGATTCTTGTCACAGATTCAATGTGGCTTGAGTTCAAGTCTTTTGAGGTTTCAGAATGAGATTTAGGGCTCATAAATTCACACAGCAATGTGGCTCCTCTTCTACTCTGCTTCTTCATCCCCTGAGCCTCAGCGCCCCCATCAGAGTTAGCGGACTTTAGAGTAAGTCATCTCTCCCCATGGCAAGCAATAATTAAAGCTGGTGTAACATGCCTTAAAAGTCAAGTGAACTTCAACTCAGTCAGTCTGTCATCTGATAGCAAGACCAAAGGCCCCTCACATAGACTCTCCTTGCTGGTCCCTGTAGAGGTGGAGTTGTGAACTTGATGCCCATGGAGGGCATGGTTAGGTGGAGCTTTCTTTTCTGGTCCTCAGAACTTGGGACAGCTACTTAATTTCCTCCAATTTCAGTTTTCTTTATAAACAGTGATAATATGAAACTTAAAAGTTCCTGGTCATAATTAATATTAGCGGGATGAGCCTTTGACTGAAGACCCACAGTGTCTTTTCCTATCGGCAAGATTGTCCCTTTAGAACTCTATAGAACACTGTAAGGATCAAATGAATCTTTTGCAAACACTTGAAAAATCATAAAGCATAACCCAAATACGAGGGCTTCTCTTTGCAGTGGACATGTGTCATGCACCTTGTGTGGGAAGCAGACACTTGCAAGTGACAATCTTAGAGCATCTTCCTGGGAATTTGTTCTTTTTTTCTGGTACATTGATGGAAACCTGCTCTGGGAGATTCCAGGGTAAGACAGACACCCATCACTGAAGTCTGGGGTAAATTGAATGACTGAGGAGTCTAGAAATGTCTTCAGACCTGTGTCTTTTTAGCTGCTCTTAGGATGTAATCAGATTATTTTTTTTTAATGTCTTTCTAATTTCATTTTGACTGAGTTGTAGTAAAAACAGTTTTAAAGCAGGAAGAAACCAAATTTGTTCATTATGTATCAACTTTCATTTTAAAGATATACTCATAGTTTAGAATAAGACTATAGATATCAAGGTACAAGATGCCTAAAGGACAGAGGTGGCTGATTTTTGGTCAGCTTGCCGGTGCTCACTTGTCACGGGCTTCTGGGCTGACACTAACAGATGTCAATCTCCCACAGAAGATTAGTGTGTGGGCCCAACGCTATCGAGGTGGAGATCCAGCCCATATGGAAGCTGCTGGTTAAACAGGTAACTAGACAATTTTCTTCTTTTTGAAAAACAGAATATGCTTCTTAATTTCTTGGCCTCAGGGGGATTGTAAATAACACTTACATCCCTCAGTGGGAATGCTATCTGTGTTTCGTGATGCTGCTTCTTGACACTAACCTATATTTTTTTCTGTTTACTAAGGCTTCCTTTCAGTTTTATTTAAGCTCAGCAAACACGCAAACACACAAACACACACACATCAGGATTTATGACTGATCCTTTCCAACTGCCTCTTATTTATTGCTCTATCTGTTTATCTATCTATCTATCTATCTATCTATCTATCTATCTATCTATCTATCTATCTATCTATCATCTAGTGTTTGGGGACATAGTCGTGTGTGTGTGTGTGTGTGTGTGTGTGTGTGTGTGTGTGTGTGTGTAGGTCAGAGAACCACTCATAGGACTCAGTTCTTCCTTTCCACCAAGTTGGTCTCCAGGGGTCAAACTCAGGTGACCAGGATTGGTAGCAAGTGCTTTTACCTGCTAAACCATCTCATCAGCCCAACAACACTTAAGCTGAAATACACTTCTCAGTGGGAGTCAGATTCCTGTTTTGTAATATATTGTTCCTTTTGTCGTCTTTAGTTTCTGTTGTGATAGTATTGTGGCATCCTAATCTGCTCAGGGTACGACAACACAATCACATAGACTGGGTAGAAATCCAAGTTCAAGGGACACTTGGTGATTTTTGGATCAACAGTCTCTCCTGTGTCTTCTCATGAAGGATGCCTGATCTCTGCCTCTCAGGACCTATGTAACCGAAATTATCTCTCAAAGCCCCATCTCCCAGTACCACCACATTGGTGGTCAGTACTTCAACAAAGGAAGATGTTTGGAGAGGCCATAAGTATGCAGTCTAACCACAGAGGCACTTTATTACAGCTATGATCCCTAAGAGTTTGAAATTCAGTCCTTACACATTCTTTTACTATTTTCTGTCTCATTGAGTGTGACTTATTATTATTATTATTATTATTATTATTATTAATTTTAAATAGTATGGTGTGTTTTGACACTTAGTACTTTTGTGTAAGCCAACCTTCAGTGGGACAATTTCCCCCTTCCACTCTCTGAGCTTGCTGTCCCTCTCTGATGACTTTGTACCTGCCTTCATTTGGTCCCCAGTGTTTTATTGGATCAGAACCAGGTCCCTATTGGAGAGAACAAGTTTTACCCGTGGGCCCTTTGGTCTGTGAGGGGCTTGGTGCCAGTCATGGCTGTGCCATGGACCCTGTTCTGTCCCATTCCACCCTCTGCTGGCTATGTTTTCAGCCTCCACACTGGGGCAGGAAGCATACTGACACCTCTTCTTCTCTCCATAGCCCTGGTTTCAGTTCCAGTTCCTTCTCTCTCTCTCTCTCTCTCTCTCTCTCTCTCTCTCTCTCTCTCTCTCTCTCTCTCTCTCTCTCTCTTTTNTTGAGACAGGGTTTCTCTGTGGTTTTGGAGCCTGTCCTGGAACTAGCTCTTGTAGACCAGGCTGGTCTCGAACTCACAGAGATCTGCCTGCCTCTGCCTCCCAAGTGCTGGGATTAAAGGCGTGCGCCACCACCGCCCGGCAGTTCCTTGTCTCTTATGAGAGATTTTCTGTCCCTACTTCCTCTCTCAATGTGCCATCTACTTTTGATCCAGGCTGCCGCTCTCTGGCTCCACACAATGTCCCACAGTTTTAACCTGTTTAAAAATATGATCATGTGTATCTGTGTTATTAAAAATATGATCATGTGTATCTGTGTTATGCATGATGCGTGAAGTAGAAATGAGCATTTGGGAAACACAGGTCCATGTACCAAGGGCTGCATGTGTGGAGGTCAGAGGACAACTTTTAGTTCACTCTTTCCTTTCACCTTTACGTGAATTTCAGGGATAGAATTCAGGTCCCACAGGCTTGCACTGTCAAATGTCTTTATCCACTGAGCCATCTTGCTAGCAAGCATATTTTGAGTCTTTTTCTAACCCTTGAAAATGGTCAGTTTTTTTTTTTTTGAGAATGGCCATCTCTGTCTAATGTAAAATATCATCCACCATTGTTCTATTTCTGGAGCAAACAGCAGGCTGTTATCATTCAGCATTAGATCTTAGAGCTGTGCTTTATTCCCAGCCAAAGGGAGTGGGGGGCACAGCTTTCTCATGCGCCTATTTCCACCCCACATGCGCACAGCCTCCCCAGCTGTGGAAAGGCAGGCCATCTAATGCATTTGAAAACTGCGAAGTGTTTTTCAAAGTATTTTTCAAAGAACCTAAATCTGATCCTTTTCAAAAGGACTCTGGTATTTCTTAGCACACATCAGTCAGAACCTTAGCAAAATTAAAGGTGTGTCTGTGGGGGCGGGGTGTAAATTGCTTCACATTTAGTTTGCAAGGGGTTAGAATCAGGGGGTTAAATTAGTTATGCTGCTGCTGCTTCTTCCGAAGAAATATTTAAACAACTTTCCACTGCATTCCTATAAATCCAGAGTCATGTTATTATTAGTACATAATCTATAATTAGAGCATTTTATGCCAAGTGAACTCAAGAGCTATAATTTGTAAGTAAAGCAATTGAGATGGGGATAATACGAAACACCAAGAAACAAAAGCTTTTTAAATTTATAAATAATATCCAGAAGGCTTGAGAAACACTTAATGTGTAGCTTTATTAACTTATTAAGTAGCTATCAGTTCATTGTTAGAAGCAGAGTGGAACTTTATTCCGTGTGGGAGATAATTACAGAAAGCAGTATTTGGAGAGCGTACCCCCGATGTTAGCCAGTATTTCATCTAATTTATAAGGATGATAAAGAGCCCTTCCTCAGGAAGGGAATCCACTTCATCCTAGCGGGCGCTCTCATGTTTGCTGTCTCTGTGTGTTGTGGAAACTTACTTCAATTCCTCCCTAAGAGTTGCTCTTCCTGTTGGGATTGTTAGATTTATCTATTTAGGGGAACTGAGGCTGAGGTTGGGATTGTTAGATTTATCTATTTAGGGGAACTGAGGCTGAGGCTGGGATTGTTATATTTATCTATTTAGGGGTACTGAGGCTGATCCAGGGCTTGAGTATGCTAAACAGGTACTCTACAGCTGAGCTTCACCCCAGCGTTCTACTGTAAGCATTATAGGAACCCATAAAACCAAAGTGGGAAATATGGGGGATAAAAGAACAAAAGGTGCTATGGAGGCACCCATGCCTGCTGATCAGCTTTGGAGTTGGTGACATCATCCCAGACGATGTTTGCTAAATCTTTGAGAAAACCACTGAAAGGGAAAGTATGGCTTCAGGACCTCCAAGGCCAAGTTCTCAGCACAAAGGAGATTTATTTGCCCCAGAGGGACAAAGGGCAGAGATATGGGACAAAGACAGAGGTAGAGGACAGGGAGAAGAGAAAAGGGACAAGGAAGAAGGGAAAGGGCTATTTGTCCTGGAGGGACAAAGGACTGCCTCTGCTGAGAGCAGAGACAGACATGGTCCACAGGCAAATGGCTGTTTACAAAGGTAAAAAGGAAACCCTGTGTTAGAATGAGGTGTTTCATTTTAATTGGGCATGTTAATTAAGTAAGCCAAACAGGGCTTTTGATTGCTGGACTTTTGAATACTTTGATAGTTGGACATTGGTAGTCACTCTCAGAAGGAGGAAACAGCCAAATAAGGAAATAGACCTCCACAGCTATCTTTAAGAATTTAATTTAATTTTTTTTTTTTTAGGAAGGCAGAGGGAATGGGGAGAAGGGCAAGGCCTGACAGAGCCATGCTCACCATGCCTGAGCTGATAGGAGGCCCTTTAGCCACTGATGCTCAGGGTCCTTCTGAGCTCAAGGGGAAGAATCCGCTGACTCTACTGCCTCTAAAAGTATCTTACTACAGCCTGCAACAGAAAAAAATATGCTATCTTAAAATAGCCTGGGTAAAAGAAGAATCTCCCATTTTCATAGCACAATTAATCTAAGTCCGCAGCATGGGAGAACATAAAAGATAAACCTATGATTTTACAATGAGACTGAATTATGTTTTTCCTCCATTATGGTGCTGTGTGACTCTATTCCTGGGCAGACATGAGCAAAACCTACTCAACTCAAACAGCAAGCTGACAACAGGCCAAACTACTTACAGCACTGATGTCCAACTTGGTGAACCAATTAGTTTGGTTCTTACAAAAACATGGGTGAGGGATTACTTATTAGTGCATAAAAACTTCAAAGGGAGATGCGCCAACAAAAGTTCATCCAAAGATGAATGACATCTCATAAAATCTAGAAACCTGGAGTGAACTGCAGAACATGCAGGCAACTCAATGGGTTAGAATTGTCTTGTCCTAGTGCCTCGGGGGGCTTGGACCTTATCAAGGTACTGTGGCTGATCTGGGTTCCCTCCAAGCAGGTTGGTTTATCAAGTGATTGCTAAGCAGCTCAGTTTATTTTCATCAATCTTCAGGGCTTATAAATTCTTGAGGAAGGAGAGGTCTGGTGAATCCAGTCAGTTTCAAGAACTTCCTGAAGCTATCCTAATTGTTTCCGTCCGGTCTTAAGGACACCTTTCTGTCAAATGGGGTATTTCCACCCCCCATCCACCCAAGAACATCCTGTTGGTTCACTTTCTTGGAAAGATCCTCTCCTAAAACACCTGTTGTTTCACTTTTCCATTTACACCTTGTGTCTCCCTCCCAAATGGAGGGTTTTAACCTGGAGACTGCTGCACGGCATATGCATAAATGGCAAATTGCTAGATTTCGTTACTGGCGAAGTATGTTTTAGGAAATAAGAAGAGGGAATGTTTTAGCATGACTCTGAGTATTTAGAGTAACTTCTACCATATTGCTTTCTATGCGCTTGCCATTGCATTTGCTTGAGTTCTAAGGGAATTCTTAAATAGAAGAGGTCCTCATATGTTGTTAAAATGAAAGGACATTCTATAAAGTAATGATATACTTCTGATCGCTACCACATAAATGACTCCTGTGCTATTTTTATACCTGCAGGTTTTAAATCCATTCTATGTGTTCCAAGCCTTCACCCTTACTCTGTGGCTGTCTCAGGGTTACATAGAATACTCGGTGGCCATCATCATTTTGACCGTTATCTCTATTGTCTTAAGCGTGTATGACTTGAGACAGGTAAGCGTTGAAATCATGGTTGGATTCCATTTGTATTTACCTTCTAGCTAAACAAACAAACAAAAAGCCTATAGAATTTGCCCCTGGAGCATGGAGAAGGTCTGTCGAATACAAGTCATAAGGTAGCATTAGCAAATCTTACTATGGGGATACTTGGGGGACAGGGCATTGGGAGTATCAAGAAGATTCAAAAGTCTTTGCAAAGTCTGATCATCAGCTGGGGGCTTAACTGGACGGACTGTATTTAGGACTCTGAGGTTGTGTGTGATCAGGTGTGAAGAATGCTGCATGGACTGATGGCAGTCTTACTGCCAAGGTGGAGGGGGCAGTGACCCAACACTCACATTAACCAAGACACAAGATACGATTTCATATTTCTTTTTAGTATGACAACCAGAAGTCAGGCTGCTAGTTGTGAGGATAGGCATACTTGTAATTGAAATAGATGTTGCAGTGTAATTTTGTCAAAATGAAATAATTCTTCCTATCAGCAACAAGCAAGATCATTGATTTCTCCAGATCCTCACCTGCACTGTGTGATAGATACTGGCATGCGAAGTCTTCATGCACTAAGTGTTTAGTGTTTTAAAGTACACTCACTGATTGCTAGTGAAGGAAGGCGTATTTTATCTATCTGAGCATTCCATGTTTCTTTTATATTCAAAGGCCTCTCATACCCACCACACACACCTATGGAAAACTTTCACTTTTAGCTGATCTTTCCTACTCTATTTTGCCTTTTTCATACACTAACGATTATACAGAGGCAAACGTATTTCTCTTTTCTGTCTCGGTTTCTGGTTTCTTGATCTGCACATCTGTTGCATCACAAAACGTGTCCTGGGGAGATGCAACGCCCACATCTACTCACCCCAGACAGGGATCCTACAAGAGACCAAAGAATGGCTACCACCGAAGTCCAACTTGTGTTGGGGTTTCTTACAGGATTATGGGTGAGGAGTTACTTACAGAATCAGCAATTACTTAAAAGCAGCTGTATCATCAAGGTCCACTCTAGCATGGGTGACAGCTCACAAGGCTGCAAACATGAAGCACCATGCACAGCCCACAGGCAGCTCCAAAGGTTGGGCACTGCCCTTTGCTAGTGACTGCATCTAAACCTCTTCCAGGCAGCTCTTCCAAGCAACTGGTTTGGTCTCAGGGTCTTTTGCAGTTTAGCTTCCCTCTGTCTGAGACTTAACTGTGACAGATGGGGCCTAGTGAATCTGATCAGTTTCAGGGACTTCCTGAAATTATTTTTGTTTGCCTTCCTGCGTAAGGAACTTCCCTGGAAAAGGGAAAGTTTTAATCTTAGATGGAACTGTTGCACAAGAATATATAAAGTTAGGCATTTTTTAATTTATTTTTTGGTATTTTAAACTGTTTATCGAAATTAAACATTTGGTGCTGGACAGATGGTTTAGTGACTAAGAGTGGTGATTACGCTGGCAGAGGACCCAGAAACCACTGGTGGTTTACAACCATCTGTCACTCCAGTTCAGGGAATCTGATGCCCTCTTTTGGCCCCCGGGAGCATGAGGTTACAAGTGGTATGCGTGCGTGCGTGTGCACACGTGCACACACACACACACACACAAATACATGTGGGCAAAGCTATACACATAAAAATTAAATTAAAAAAATTAAAAAATTAAAATTCACGTTTTCTTAACAGAATCCCTAATTTACTTTGCCTTAACACAGTTAACCACATGGGAACATGAGTTTTAATGGCAGCGCGACAAAGGGTTTCAGAAGAATAGGAATTAGAAGGCAAACACTAATCTTCTTAGCAGCTGGTATTCCTTTACAAAACTTAACTGACCTAACTTGTCTAACGCCTTGTGAAGCCACACCAAGTGAGCCTATTTCCTTCATAGCTTCAGCCCTGAGCCTTCAACCATTAATACCATTTATGATTTCATAATTCACAATAGGTCCCTATATCCATCATATACGTATGTTGGGCGCAGTGTTTATAGAAGGAGACACATACCATAGAATAGTTTCCTCCCACCTGAGAGGAGCTTGCTTATCTCCGCATGGGAAACAGTGGCCAGGTTTCCTGGCTCCCAGTGTGCTACATGCTATTGCACTGAGTGCATTTTCATAACCTGACCTGTGGACTTTGAGGTAACAGTAAGATCTGGAGGAATAGAGCCTAGCAGGAAGGAATATCTAAGTCATTGTGCTGAATTCAACGTTTCTCTGAATTGAAGCTAAGAAGGATAATCTCCCTGCCTGATTACTCTACCCCAAATTATGCCACTTAGAGAAAGCTTACATTACCATGGCTAAGAAACACCTGAGCTGTAGTCCCTTGCTAAGAAGTTAGGAGAATCCAAGCCGGGGCTGAATGCAAACCCCAGACTGTGTTTACTTAGTGCACCTGCTAGCATAGGACTGAGGGTATCACTGTACCCCCTCTTCCCTGGCTCTGCCTTCAACCTTGACCTAGCAGGGCCCTGGGGCACCTGAGTTAATGCACCACTTCCAATATCTCTGGAGAAAATCCAGCCACAGCAAACACAAAGATATCCGGCAGCAGATGTGGAATAATAACAGTATGCAAATGAGCTGTGGAAACTGATCCTGGTCCCCCTGAAGAGGGACTGTAGAAACCAGAGGGGGCCCAATGAAAATCAGGCAATGAGCTTTGCAGCCATGGCGAGCATCACAGAGCTTGCCTTCTCCTGGCTGGCTGGTTGTCATAGAAACCCATGCTTATAGTTTCCAAGTACATTAGCTCAAAGAGAATGCTTACATTAGCCTATCCCTGTGTTGTTGGAGATGTAGACCACTCCAGGTCTATGAAAGACACTTTCGCTGAGGGTCTACTACATGACAGAGTCTGGGGACAGAGAGGAATGCACGGCTCCTTTCCCACCCTGGGAATTGGGTGTCTCACCCAATTGGGAATTGGGAGGAAGGACAACAGGTAGCTGTAACAGAAGTTATCAGTACGCCAGCCGAGGTGTGCAGCCAGCAGCAGAGCTCTGCCTTCCTCCTGGATCTGGTCCTTGTCGGGGGAGGTCATATTTACACAGAGCTTCATGGGAAGGATTAGAAAGAGCTTGCTAGCGGCAAGCTGGGCTGAACATTCTAGGGAATAGCCCCAGCAGAGGCGTGGAAGCATGGCAGATTCCCCAGAACGCTAAATCTGATAAACAAATTCAGCTTCCCAGCACAATGAGGTTGGAGAATTACAGTCAAGCGCTATTAACTCCTACCTCCCCACTTCCAAATGGGCTGATTAGCATCCTCTCCAGCTGAAGTTATTATGGCATCGGCTCAGGGAGCTAGCTGAACAGAGAGAAACTGAAAGCAGTTTAGCAGGGAAGAAGAGCTCCGAAAGGAAATGGGAGCTATTTTAAGCGTGAAGAGAACACACTTAAGAATATGCTTTGATTCAGGTGAACCTCTCTGACTGTCACCCTCAATGCTTCATAAGTGCATGATGGTGGCAAAGTACTTGAACATTTTCCACCCCAGGCCTTTGCCTCTGTATTTCTATGTATGGTAGAGATAGCATTTTTGTTTATTTTTGTGTATATCTAGCTTTTCTAAAGGCTCTTCCACAGTCGTTAGTATGTACCAGCGATTCGATACTATGAGTGGTTATATACATATTGATTTGAGTCTTTTACAATATCTTATGGATTTCTTCGATGAAGCCTCGCAGGCTTGGAATAAGTCCCTGGCATGTAAAACACACCAGCAGAACACCACTTGAAGGCTTGGAGGTAACTTAAGGCTATTACCAGCTGTTTACCGGAGAAGCTACTAGCGTCTCGGGGGACATTTAACATACATTGGACATGGCTGGCTGCTGCAGTAAGCCATGCCTCCAACTCAAGAATTGTGACCCAATCCAGGGTCCCTCACACAGAACCTTGGCTGACTCTCTCAGCTGTCTGTGTAAGGCCGGGTATAAATGAATGCACCCGACAGCTAAGACCCAGGTAGTCACTTTATGGTGACGAATATGTAACTAATAGCTGTAACACTTCTTCCGCACTGTTGACCCAAATGAGTGAAATCTGGTTTTTCATGTGGAGCTAAAGTAAATACTCTTCTTTCTCCTATGGAAATCTTAGTCTTGAATTCATTATATTCTCTCTGGGGACAGGCACAGGGCTGTGCATGGTGCCTATCAGTCTGGAAAGATTTGTAACATTCAAAGTCGTTAACAGAACAGATCAAAGTAGCTTAACTGTAAAAGAGAAAAGTGTTCTGTTCGGCTTAGTTTAGGCTGAATTGGAATAGCAACATCAGGAGCCAGACTTGCTTCATCTTCGCGACATCCAGTTCTCTGACACCATTGGGAAAGCAGCAGATCCTTGCCCAGCGGTTGGTTCCTCCCCTTTTGCTGGTGCTCCCTTTCTCGTGCTGATGTCACACCGTGTCCGTATAAAAAGTGTTTGAACCAAGTACCCTCTTGCCTCTGCCATCCTGTCCCCCGTTATCCTAGGGACTGCTGCTACCTCTCCAGAGTTCCTTCCATTTCCTCTACCTTTTACAGTCATATCTCAATAAGTTATACCTCAGCAAGGTTTTCCAGGTTCTGTCTCACTGCAGTTTTTCCAGCAGCTTAGTCCTTCGCAGTCGCTAGCACTCATGTACCCTCAGCATAGTGACATGACACATAGGGTTCGTGTGAGATTTAATTAACTGAAAACTCAAAATACCACTCCAAAGGCTTACATTATCATCTCTCTTTTCAGGTGAGCAAAATGGGGTTAGACAGACTCCCTGACTCATTCATGCTAGCCTCAGGATTCCAAATCTAGAGACATGACTCTGGTCTGTCAGCTCACCCAGTGTGAGCAAGCGTGAACAGGGTCTGCTCTTCCCAGTGGACAGTCGTTTACACAGCAAAATCAGACACTCTCATAATTTGGAAATGCTTGTTTCTTCACCTTGGTTCCTCTCCCTGGGTCCTGGGCTCCATAGAAGTGTATCATTTTTACCCCCTTGGAGTAAAGTTATGTTAAATGAGTCTGGAGAATTGTTCCTAAAATCATGTCAAGAGGCTGGGAGTGGGAGAAGGGGAGCTAAAGCTTCAAAAGCCAAAGTAGAAATTGGGTGTGGTGGACAATATGTGCAACCCCAGCATTCAGAGGCCAAGAAAGACGTATAGATTGTTTTGAGTTCAAAACCATCCTGGGCTACATAGTGAGTACCAGGCCAGCCTAGGCTACATAGCAAAATCCTGTCTCAAAGATCAAAAAGAGTAGATCAAGTGGAAGCTGAGTCGTTTGCCCAGGTCGTTTGTCTTCGCTGTACGTAGGTGGTTGTCGGGGATACGGGCTATCTGCTGGTAAAGCCTTGTCTTTCTGTTGGCAGCAATCCGTGAAGCTACACGACCTTGTGGAGGATCACAACAAAGTCCAGGTCATCATCACCGTAAAGGGCAAAGGTGAGGGGCTCAGGCTACCGTTTCGGAACAGTCTTATAGCCTCTACAGTCTTAGGCAGGCTGTTGGTCCTCACTATCAAGGACAGAACTTCTCTCTGACTGAACCCGGGATGGCAAGCATGATGAGATGAATGAGACATCTAACTCATAAGATGGCAGGAGGCTAAGACCTCAAATACCACCTAATATCTGCAGAACCCCGAGGGACTGACTGCCTTGTTCAGCTTGGAGCCCCAGGCCTGGCTTGCCTCGCCTCCTTCCAAAGTTTGGCTAGACGACTCCTACACATCATCTTCTTCATGGACTTCAGTCTCCAATTCTCTGTCCTCCGTATTTTAGACAATTGAATATTCATGTGAAAACTAAAGGCTCCTTTATCATGTTCAGCTTGCTGTATCTCAAAGACCTTGCATCCCACTTTCCAAGTTGTCATCTGGAGTGTAGGCTTGGATGAAGCCTTTTGATGTGGACTGTCTGGACTCTTGGCATTGGCTCTGAGTTTAGCTTGGGGTAGGGTAGCCACGGTTATGTGTAAGGAATAGAGAATTGCAGTGAGAGCAGCAGAAGGTCTCTGGAAGGTTTACATGTAGCCCCAAAGCTACCCACAGAGTCCCAGTGCCCAGACAGAGCAAGTAGCAGCCAGAGGGCATCTCCCGTTTGACTGAAGCTCTGAAGAATTTACTTGGCACAGAGTCTCGTTGGGTTCCAAACAGGAACTTGTTTTTTCATCCATTTCTAGATCCCAAGCAACAATTTCCCAATCTAATTCCCTGGTGATTTTCAGTGGAGCAGAAAGGGGCCCCAGGCAGGTGAACAGGTGGTGTAGGTTCTATCCAACAGGAAAATAAGCAAATAAGAGTTCTTAGTTATTTTAATTCTTAAGGAAAACAGAAGGCCAAGCCAGTCATGGACCTTTTGCTGTCACCTAGGTCTGCAGGAGCTGGAGTCCCGTCTCCTGGTTCCAGGAGATATTCTCATTCTTCCAGGGAAAATCTCACTACCCTGTGATGCTGTCCTGATCGATGGAAGTTGTGTGGTGAATGAAGGGATGCTCACAGGTAGGCTGCCATCACCCATCAACCTCTTCCTCACCCAACAGCTAGCCCAAATGTTAGCAAATCAGATCAACTGTTCCTGTTTGCCTGGGACCAAGCCCTACACTAGGATATGAAATAAGTAAAGGAAATCTGTGTTGCCCTTTTATTCAAACAAAGACACAGAACACACAAGCAGTGTTGGTTAACAATAGGACTAAGCCACAAAACAGAAACCTAGAGGACACATTTTTCTAACCTGTGGGAATTTTTTTTTTTTTTTTTTTGCTGGTGGTGGCCTGAAGGAGCGAGTGGAAGGAGGTGTGGGCACGAAAGCAGGTGGAAATGGAGTCTCATTGTAAATCTAAGAATATTTCTGTCTGCATGGAAACAAAGCACAGCCTAAAAGACCATCAGGTCCCAGGCAGAGGAGGGAGGAGAGATCTGCCTAGCCCTGTGCTCTACAGGTGGAAAGTGCTTAGAGCTGGGTAAGCTCCCAGGGAATTTCCAGCGAGCCTTAGCACAGTCAACAGCCCGCTGCTCTGCTCCTCAGTCTCACAGCCCCAGTGGATCTCACATCGCGATTCAGAGGGCTGGAGTGTTCACCTACAGGTTTTGAAGGCTTCTTGTAATTGTGTGAATAGGAAGATGCTATTTATACGATTGCCCTTTAGTTTAGGAAATCCTGCAGCACAGTGCATTTTAGCCAGAGACTATTTGGAAACCCACAGCTAAAAGCTATTTGTCCTTTGTGCTGATAGATTGTTAAACTTTCCTGTTTCCATCTGGTACAAAGATGGGAAGAAGTTCACACAAACCTTGAACATGACCCGAGGGCAACAGAAACCCGTTGTCTGCTCCTTGCGTGCTCAACATCGGCAGATCTTAACATTTATGAACGGCTCTACTTAATTTTAAACGGGCACATGACGTGGTAAACCTAGATATGTTGGGTATAATTACAAACTATCTCTAATACATTGAAATCAACCTGCCTTGTGATGGTGGTAATGAATGTTGCCATAGTATCCAGTGTGCAGACCTTGAGCTAAGAAAGATGTTGGCTGGCCTCTACCCTACGTGTTCCCTCAGCCTGAGTGTGCCTGTGTTCTGAACGCTTCTCTCACTGGGTAACAGAGAACATGACATGGGGACATCAGAGGCAGGAAATACAGCACGGCTCAGGCCTTCCATCTGTCCCTTATCCTTTCCTGATCCACAGGATTTGTCCCGAGTCTCGGAAAAAGCCATAATGCACCAGAGAATTAAAACTGATCTAAAATGACCTTGAATGACAGCGGGCTTTTCCCAAGCTCACTTATGGCGAAAGTGAAGTCACCAGCACCTATATCTACATATCCTGAGTGCGGAAAAATAAAATAAAATGATCCATTTCAGAGCCAGACTCAGTGAAATAGAAATATATATGAAACTAACTGTATGTATCTTGTTAACTTCTTAGAAAACATGTAAATCCCAGCAAGCCCTAGTATATTTCATGTAGGAAATGGACCCCACTGGCACACATACCGTGAAAAGCGTCCAGACAGAGCCACCATGTTAGAATCAGATTCCTGGCTGATATATGGTCACGTATCCACAATCGCAGCTCTGATACATCTACTTTCCATTTTGCAAAGTAACTCTTTGCAGATAGAGAAGTTTTATTTATGTAGAAATAATATGCAAATACTCTTAGTATCCTATAGTAACATATTTTATAAATAGCATTTATATCTCACTTCATCATGCTGTTGGCTTGGTGTTTATTTTGATACAAGTCAGTGATCTTGGCTCAGTTACTCTTGACTTCATTGTAGCTACTCAAGTCCTACAAAACAGCAGGATGGGATGAAAGCTAGATCCAGGTCTTTTTGTGGTTGTAGTTTCCCCACATCTGGAAGGCTGAATGAGGTCTGCCTGACACCCAGCTTCTATGGTCTTATTGGGGGTTCTCATAGCCTCCTAAGGTGCAGGTTCCTTTTCTTAGGGACACATGGTGCATAAGTCCTCTTTGGATCCCCTTCCAATCTTTCAGGACTACAACTTTAGGTAAAAATGCAGGAGAGGAAATGCATGGGGTAGGAGAAGGGCTTTCTTACTCTCTAGATGTCCCTAGTGTCTGTGATTGAGCTTAGACATGGTTTTCAGGGCACAGAAGCCAGTATCCAACTTCCCTGTCTCCCTTGCCTCCTTCTCTGAGGAAATGGCCTCCTTCAGGTCCTTGTTTTCCCCTAAGGGGGAAGAGGCAAGATACAAAGGAGCATATGACGAGGGAGAAGCCATTAATATTTACCATTTTCTTAGTTTTAGTGTGGGATGTTTCTTTGTTTGTTTTCGTTTTCACTTTTTGAGATAGGGATTCTCTGTGTAGCTTTGGAGCCTGTCCTGGAACTTGCTCTGTAAACCAGGCTGGCCCCAGACTCAGAGATCCGCCTGCCTCTGCCTCCTGAGGGCTGGGATTAAAGGTGTGTGCCCCCACTGTCCGGCTCGTGTGTGCTGATTTCTATCAACATTTTGCACAGTGTTTCACTTACTCTACAGTCTTTTAGATGGGTGAATACGAGGCCAGGAGAGGAGTAATCGTTTCCCAGTATTCACACTTAAGAAAAGCGGTGCCTCTGAGATCTGGGTGCATTTGCCGGACTGTTCATTCCCTGATTTCCCCAGCTATGAGCAGAAAATCTACCGGGGCTACAACCATGAGCAGGGCCAGGAATACTTTTGGAGCAAATGGGAATCATAAAAGTCAGAAATAACACACATTCCTAACAACTGCTTCGTGAAGAACGGCACCCAGCCAGCGCATCGCCTCCCCAGAGCCCATGCTTCTAGCCAGCGCTAGATTCTTCTGGGGAAGCTCATGGGAGAGAGCACAGCCTTCTTCCTTCTTCCTGTTCATGAAAGAACTGATTGAATTGGAGCCTAAGTTTAGGATGGATGCAGTCACCTGAGATGGACACACAGGGGTTTTCCTCTGCGGTCTTTCTGAGTTGATATTTTGCCACACACACTTGTTAGCAACGGGTAGATCATACCTCTTCTGAGGCTCTTTCTTTCATTTTTTTATTCTTTTCTTCTCACCCCCCATCTATCTTGCTGATGTATCTTTTTACTTGACACAAGCTCTGGAATGCTCACGATGTGCCAGGCACTGTGTTGGGATCAGCGAGATAAAGGAGAACACTCCACTGACACATCATTTTCCATCAAATGGTCCCAGGGCTGCAATGAACAGGAGCATGGCATCTCAAGCATTGTCAGCATGAAGTAGCATCCAGCTCCGTGGGGACATGGGAGAATCTCTGTTTGACAGATGCTGAGGACTCCAGGTCCCTTGCACCAACTCTATAATTGGGAGTACAAAATCAAAGCACTTTCTCCTGAAACATAAACCCCCTTGCACCCTAATCGTTTGCAGGTGAATCTATCTCTTTTTGGACTCCACCAGAAAAGCCAAGGCTTGAGAGTCTTAATAATATAGGAGCAATATTAATTCTGTGTAAATTTACCTGCCTGAAGTATCATTTCCATAACATTATCTCCAGGTGACTATATTTGATCAGCGCCTGTCTGATTCCAATTTCCCTAGGGCATATAAAGGAAAACTAGTTGCTAGTATCATATTAGGCAAAGCAATAATCTGGCTTAATCTTTCTTGTCACAAAGCAATCTGTAAGTACCTATGTATTACAGAGGCTGACTTCCAAAACAATGTGGTACAATTATTTGAAGACTTGCCAAAGGTTCTGTCTCTTCTACAGAGCCATTTTGGATGCAACTGATAATTCTACAGAGTGGAGGGGGCATCATCACCCTTTAAAGAAAATGGAGCAAGGATAGTGCTCAGCTAAGGGATTTGTTTAAGAATATGCAAGTCCGGAAATCTCAAGGTCCAAATCAGGAGCAGAAGGAGAGAGAGCACAAGCAAGGAACTCAGGACCACGAGGGGTGCACCCACACACTGAATCAATGGGGATGTTCTATCGGGAACTCACCAAGGCCAGCTGGCCTGGGTCTGAAAAAGCCTGGGTTAAAACCGGTCTCGCTGAACATAGCGGACAAGGAGGACTACTGAGACCTCAAGAACAATGGCAATGGGTTTTTGATTCTACTGGACCTATTCGTTTCGTGGGAGCCTAGGCAGTTTCATGGATGCTCACCTTACTAGACCTGGATGGAGGTGGGTGGTCCTTGGACTTCCCACAGGGCAGGGAACCCTGATTGCTCTTTGGGCTGACGAGGGAGGGGGACTTGATTGGGGGAGGGAGAGGGAAAGGGGAGGCGGCGGTGGGGAAGAGACAGAAATCTTTAATAAATAAATAAATTTAAAAAAATAAAAAAAAGAATATGCAAGTCCGCAATAAAATGTTAGAGTTTCTCATGCCTTACTGTGTAAACATTGTCTTTGCTAGGAAAGCTAGCTTTGAAAAAACAGTAATAGAAAAACCCAAGTATTCCTTCTATTTGACTCAGATGTACACGTAGCAGAAAACACATTTTAAAACCTATTATATGCTGTAGAGGAAAATGAGGAGAAAAAAAAGAAAATGAGGAGTATAGAAAGTTCTTTATACCAAAATTCTTGCCCTCATAGAGAGAAATGTAAATATAATCAATATAACACCAATTTTAAATTAGAAAGATAACGTAATTATTTTGCTAATCAAACATTTAACAAGAGACTGGTTAAATTTTAAATCTGGGATCTAGGAAGTTATCCACAATTTTTTTTTTAACTGTGAAATGAAGTTTTACCTTGCATCCTTTGAACTTCCAACATTCTGTCCTACAGAATGTCACCTTGCTTGAGAAGGGGACAGAAACTGTGACAGCCAAGGCCAGGAAGTGCCTAGAGGTTGACTGCAAGGTCAAAAAGGGCCCTGCTCAGCTGCAGCTTATATGGGGATAAGTCCAGGGGTCCACTGGGACTCTGGGGCTCTGGGAATGGGAAAAGGGAGTCTGGGGTTTGTTTTGCAATGGAAAGGAGGAAGAGGTGGCTTTGTTAGGAGTCACCTGGAAAATGTGTGGAAGGATCGTCATTTTCCAGCTTGAGACCGGGAGCTTTGTGAGGACCAGGTTTCTGTGTAGTGTTTATCATTATATTCCCAGTTCTTTGCAGAATAAGCACTTTGATTTCTGGCACAGAAAGCACTTTAAGGTATTTGTAGAATAAAAGGGGGAAGTGTGTGTTTGTGTGTGTGTGTGTGTGTGTGTGTGTGTGTGTGTGTATAAATGATCAGATGGAAAGCGAATGGAAACAAGTGCACACATGTTTCCAGTTTCCGGAACAATGTCGGGTGATGGATGCTAGGGACATGGCTGGGTGATAATTTAACTGCTCGTTAAATCATGGCATCAAAGCACACATTCCATGTAGAGGAGTACAAAGCAGAGTTTAAGAAAATATTTTTACTAGAAGTAAGCCTACCACTGCATGAAACACAGGCATCATGGGATGAGTTCTAATATGGGTTTGGTTATGGTTATACAGTTCCTTGGAACTGGCCCGCATCTGTTCTGAATAACTAACCTGAGCTTACACAGAATCAACAAAATGCAATCTTCTTTAGGAGAAAGCATACCTGTTACAAAGACGCCATTGCCTCAGACGGAGAACACCATGCCCTGGAAAACCCACAGCTTAGAGGATTACCGGAAACACGTACTTTTCTGTGGAACGGAAGTGATCCAGGTCAAGCCATCTGGGCAGGGACCTGTTAGAGCCGTTGTTCTGCAGACAGGTGAGTGGATTCAACTTTTGTAAACTTAAGTTGTGCTCGAGGTAGGGAGAATTGAAGGTAGGAAATTTCGCTTAGGATTTTGGAGTTTGCCTTGTTCTGGTAATAGTAGCCACATGCTTTTCTAGCCAGACCCTTAGGATTCTAAGTGGGCATCATCTTAAATTGAATGTTCATTGTTAAACCCTTATTTGTGTTGAGTGACACGCATAGATATTTTATATATATATATATAAATATATAAAATAAATGTCCTTCAAGGCTTGTAGGCTTCTCCTTTTTTTCTCAATGCTTCCTCTTAAGGTTTCTCTGTAAACCAACGTCAGCCACAACTCAGAAGGATTTTTCATGTCCAAACATTGCTTGCTGGATACTTTTTTTTTCTTTTCCTTAGAAATATTTTATGTTGATATGTTTTTTTAATTTATTTATTTCTTTATTAATTAAAGATTTCTGTCTCTTCCCCACCACCGCCTCCCCTTTCCCTCCCCCTCCCCCAATCAAGTCCCCCTCCCTCGTCAGCCCAAAGAGCAATCAGGGTTCCCTGCCCTGTGGGAAGTCCAAGGACCACCCACCTCCATCCAGGTCTAGTAAGGTGAGCATCCAACTGCCTAGGCTCCAAAGAAAAACATATAGGCATCCTCCTGAATATTAACCTTCATCAGGCGATGAAAGGAGACAGAGACAGAGACCCACATTGGAGCACCAGACTGAAATCTCAAGGTCCAAATCAGGAGCACCAGGAGAGAGAGCACGAGCAAGGAACTCAGGACCGCGAGGGGGCAACCACACACTGAGACAATGGGGATGTCCTATTGGGAACTCACCAAGGCCAGATGGCCTGGGTCTGAAAAAGCCGGGGTTAAAACCGGTCTCGCTGAACATAGTGGACAATGAGGACTACTGAGACCCCAAGAACAATGGCAATGGGTTTTTGATCCTACTGCACCTATTGGTTTTGTGGGAGCCTAGGCAGTTTGGATGCTCACCTTACTAGACCTGGATGGAGGTGGTGGTCCTTGGACTTCCCACAGGGCAGGGAACCCTGATTGCTCTTTGGGCTGACGAGGGAGGGGGACTTGATTGGGGGAGGGGGAGGGAAAGGGGAGGCGGCAGTGGGGAAGAGACAGAAATCTTTAATTAATTAATAAAGAAATAAATAAATTAAAAAATAAAAAGAAAGAAGAAAATTTAAAAAAAGATCCAAAAATAAAATAAAATATGGCTTCTATGTTAAAATAAGTTTTGAGATCCCTCAATCAGGTGTCTAAACAGAAACTAAAGGTTAGATTCCTATAAAGCAATGATATTTCCACTTTAGCAAGATGCTGAATTAAGAGACCATATCTTTCTATGAGTGCTTCTAAGTGCTTAAATGGCAAGAAATAGAGATAAGGCACACTCTATGTGAGTGTGTGTGTGTGTGTACATATGCATACATACAATAGCTGACCCATATTTAAAATATAGTCAAGTCAATCCATTTAGTCAATAAGTCAGACAGAAGTAAGCATATACTGAATGTTACGTAAGTTAACAAATTAGCGCTTGTTCCTTTAGGGAAGGTTATGCTATGATATAAGAGACAGACAGATGTACTTGCAGTAACTCCCCGTTAACTAAACTGTGGAGTAGTGAGAGAAGCCATATGGTCATGTATTGCAGGGAATAAATTACTTCTGGTTCAAGCATGGACACAGAATTCAGGAAACACTTTTCCGACAAGGCAGCATCTGATCAGGAAGCCAAGCCTGAAAGGGCGAGGGAGCGTTTGGACAATTGTCTGAGAACTAGAAAAGACGGGCATGGAATAAAAAGAACGAGGGTCTTCTGGGACCATTGAATAGTGAAGTTAGTCTATCGAGATAGAAACAGATGATGTGGAAGGGACTTTCAGTACTGTGCCTAGAACTTTGAGCTTTGGTCCAGGGAAGCCAGTGCCTTAGGGGTTTTTGGAGCACAAGGGAGTCATGATGAGAAGCCTGTGCAGTTGCATTTTAAAGAAATGACTTGCCTTCTGCCTTCTGCTTCTTTACCTGCTCAGTTCTTTCCTTACTTGTATCTGTTTTCAGCACATACCTGCTTTAAAGGCTTCTCTGAGCATCTCATTTTCTCTGGGTCACAATTTTCAACTCGCAAGTCTGGTTTTCCTTAGCTCTGCAGATGGGTGGATGGTTGTACTGTGGGGGCCACTGAAACACTGACTCCCAGGACAAGAGGAAGTAAACAGGATTGAGTGAATGGAACAGATTGCTCGCTGTGATTGTTGACAAGGAAGGCAAACACACTAATAGGTCAGAGCAATGCCGTTTCCATATCTGTCAGACCCCAGTGGCACAGCCACTCTGGGAACCCAGTGACACAGCAACCCTCAGACCCCAGTGACACAGCCGCTGTCGGGCTCTGGTGGCACAGCCACTGTCAGATTCCAGTGGCACAGCCATGTAAGTGTGGAAAGAAGCAGAGACTTGATCCCTCTGTGGTTATCTTCCTAGGTTATAATACAGCAAAAGGGGACTTGGTGAGATCCATCCTCTATCCGCGACCTCTGAACTTCAAACTGTACAACGAAGCCTTTAAGTTCATGGTGTTCCTGGCCTGTATTGGTGTTGTGGGATTTTTCTATGCCCTGGGTGTCTATATGTACCATGAAGTAAGTACTGCGACTAAATCTTGTCAATCATAGTTTTCTGAGACCTGGACCTAACTCCAGAGGATTAAATAAGATTGATTCTAGCTCCCATAATTCTGGGAGTCTGTGCTGCTGTCCAAAAGAACTTTCTTAGATTGTAGAAATGTTCTTTGCCTATCTCTCCAGAATGAAAAGAAGTGGCCAGAAATACAGCTAGCCCAATGCTAGAGTGCATGACCCACATATACAAGGCCCTGCCTGGGTTTAATACACACACACACACACACACACACACACACACACACACACACACACTGTTGTGCAGTTCATTGGCTGCCTTACCCTTTGGTTTTTAACGAGGGGTTGCTCCAGCGGTGACATAGACAATATGCAACCCAAAGAGCTCTATAGGAAATACATGTTTTCAGCACCCATTCAAACAGGTAAGAAAAATGTGCTAATCAGGTCAGGGGGCAGGAAGAGCACAGTAATTAAAATGAACAAAAACACAGAAATACGTGAGCACCTTCTAGAACTGACAAGCAATTAAGGGAGATGCCTAGCAGGGTAGAAAGAGGTCACAATGATGGGGATCTTGAATGGCACCTCCAGTTTTAGCATTTTCCATGCAGTTTGGAAAGTGGTGTCCCAAAATAACCCCCAGACATGACAGAAATGGCTTACTCGTGCTTTCTGTTTGGTACCTGAGGCAGACTTAAACATCTGCTTTTCCTTTTCAGAGATGATGATACCTAGTGGGATCCCTACTTCCCTTTAAGCCACAGGGTACCAAGTTCATGTGGGTGCTCTATAGGGTACCAAGTTCATGTGGATCCTCTATAGGGTACCAAGTTCATGTGGATGCTCTATAGGGTACCAGGTTCATGTGTGTGCTTCTCTTGACTGGTAGCCATGGAGGGAGATGTTGTCATTTTAACCTCTGTGGGTTTTCCTGGTCCTGAGACTTTACTGTTCGTTCATGTGGCCTCCAAGACGTGCTGGGATCCTATGGGCATGTCAAGGAAAAGAGAGAATTATGAGTTAAGCATGGGTGCGAAGCTGGGCATTGTCCAAACTGGCAGTACCAGCGAGTGCTGGGTGTTGGTGAGTGTGCGAGCAGCCAGGATATTGGTGGACAATGACATATCCAAAGATTTTCTAGTTTACGCTCATGCCAAAACCCTCTAAATAGTCATTTCAAACTGGCATAACGCTCCAGAGAGGGAGCTCTAAGGAGTCCAGGGCGTTTGTCACTGGTATGGAATCGGGGAGAAGTAGGCGGAGTACCAAGGCCATGAAGTCCAGAATGTGATGTAGTGTTCCAGTTTGACCTGGAGAGGAGAAGCACCAATCAGAAAAGTAAAACAAGCCTCGGCATAACCTAGGAATGAAGGTTTCCTGGACAGAGATCAACATGCAATCCACACCAAACCTGCAAGTTGGATGCCAGACCTTGTGGGTCAGAAACTTTGGCCCCGAGGCTGCCCCCAACTGCATAGATTCAGAAGGAGACAGGCTGGAGTCTGCAGGGTCACAAGTCCTCTGTGTGAGTAGCTGGAGAGAGTGGAGAAAGCAGCGGTTGCAGGAAACAACTAAATAATGCATTTGCTGCAGACACGTGGCAGCCATAGTGAGAGAAACTAACCTCGGCATTGGCTTCACCGGAGCTAAGCACACTCTGCCACACTGTGATCTTGGCAGCCTTGGTCCCAGGGTTTGTCAGGTCACCATTCCTTCTGTCTGTGTATCCAGTACTGCTTCTGCCCCAGACACTGAGCTGACCTTTGAACTTTCAGACAAGCAAGGATTCAAAAGTGAATGAGCTACAGCTCCTGTATGTAGGATATTTGCAGGCTGGTGAGGGAGAGAGAATTGAAAACTAATGTCAAGCTTTGGAGTGAACTATTTCAACCTAAGGCTGCTTGTGTGAGTGGGTGGGAGGGGGCATGTGAGCACCCAGGAGTTCAGAGGATGAACAGAGGAGATACTGATGGGTGTTCAGGTGGAGGGAAACTGAGTCAGGAAAGCTCACAGTGACTTCAAACAGGGGTCAAAAGGTCTCCTTTGGTGTATAGTAGGGACAGTATGTGCATGCGTTAGGAACAGCCAAGAGACACCCAGCCCCACTGAGAAAACCCCCAACTCACCGAGAATTCTCTGAGCCCAGATCCAGGGCCCCGGGTGTTACAGGAGGAAATTGGAAGAAAGGCACCGTCCTGCCCTGCTCTACCCTGTACGCACCCTTTTCTCTTCCCCAGGTTCCTCCGAGAGAAACCGCAACTATGGCCCTGATCCTCCTCACAGCCACTGTCCCGCCCGTGCTCCCAGCCGCCCTGACCATCGGCAATGTGTATGCCCAGAAGAGGCTGAAAAAGAAGAAGATCTTTTGTATCTCCCCTCAAAGAATCAACATGTGCGGCCAGATCAACCTCGTGTGCTTTGACAAAGTGGGTTCTGAGCTTTCCAGGTTGGGTTGGGCTTGACGGTTTTGATGCACGGTGGAGCTGTGAAGGACCTCGGAGAACATCTGTCCCAGGGCTCCCACTTCACGGCTGAGACACTGAGGCCAGAGGCAGTCACAGAGTGAGGCTGTGTGAGGTCACAGTCTAGAAAGCAAATTTGGTGCCTGGGGGAGGGCAGGTGGCATTGTGGCCAGAATCTCATCATGACTTCTTTTCCCCGGTAGAATTTAGTATTTTCTGTGCCTGTGTTTTGATTGGAAACAATCTCAAGCCCCGATAATTTCCCCTTCAGGCAAAATTGTGGGAAACATTCATGTTTTAGAAGTGCCCTCTCTGGGACTTATGTGAGCGATCCCTTTCACCTCCACCTACGGCTTCCTGGAAAGAAAAAAAGCAGGCGGAGCCAGTGTACACACCTCTCCTACTGCTCTGTCTCGCCTTCTTCCAGGGGTCAAGACTCTAGGTTAGGGAAGCGTCATGTCTGTCCTCAGGGGTCTGGAGAAGCGGCAGAAAGAGAATACATCCTGGGTGAGGGTGACAGCTACACTTGGGTATGGTCCAAGACCCTACAGTTCTCCCATGGGAACCAGGAATGACACCAGCATTAGCTCCCTGACATGCAGACTTTGTGAGCACCTTGGACAGAGTACAGTGCACCTTGGCTGGTCTTTCCCGGTTTAAGGTCATTTGTGTTGGAATAATGAATCAACATTTTGGCTATTTTTTTGCCAGTCCCCATCCTCAAGAGCCAATCTTGCACACAGTGCCTATAGAGTGTCATGGGTGGTCATTTTTCATTTGGGGGAACTTTAGCATCTAATCAAGGGTGCAGGGAATATGGGAGAGAGAAAACTGGTATACTCCAAGGTGTGTGCTTGATGGAGGTTTGAACAAACGTCAGCAGGAACTGATTGTCACTGGTGGGAGGCCCCCTTGGAGCTGCAGGATATGGAATGGCACAGATTTCAAGGAGCCCAAGGATGTAAAAGGCATCTACCATTTCAAGACAGGGCAAAAAGTTGGACCATCCAGCGAAATGGTGCTGGAAGGCCAATGTGGCAAGCTAAGTAGGGGGTCATGTCTTGAGGGAGAATGTGAGGCCTTGAAAAAAATAAGACAAGTTGGGCAGTGGTGGCACTTGCCTTTAACCCTAGCACTCGGGAGGCAGAGGCAGGCGGATCTCTGTGAGTTCGAAGCCAGCCTGGTCTATAAGAGCTAGTTCCATGACAGGCTCCAAATCCGCAAAGAAAACCTGTCTTTTTTTTTTTTTTTTTTTAAAAAAAAAAAAAGGACAAATGAAATTTTGTAGGATTTTTGTTTTGTTTTTTATTCTTTCTTTAGGAGCTTTATGAGGATGCTCTTAGTTACTTTTTTTTTTTTATCATTATAACCAAACACTTAAAAATCAGCAACTTAAGGGAGGAGAGATTCGCTTTGCTCCAAGGACAGTCTGTCATGGCAAGGAGAGCATGGCGGTGTTCACACACAACTGGGGCACCAGAGGAAGCAGAGAGCTAGACCGCAAGTGGAGGTGGGCTATAACCTTCAAGATCTATGCCCAGAGGTTCTACAGCATTCCAACACAGTGCCCCCAAATATTCAACCCATGAGCCTGTAGGGGAAAGTCAGCATTCACATCATAACAGAAGGGATGGAGGAGGGATGTGGGGGAGTGGGCTACCTGGGGCCAATGGAAAGCCTTCATGGTCCTACACCTGGAGAGGGAGGGGAGCCGCACAAGGACACCTGCTCCTCTCAGGTAGAAGCAGCACGTCTCTCAGATTATTGTAATTTCTCCCTCTCTTCCTTTTCCATTTGCTCAGTCGGCATCGTGTAGGAACCAGAGAGTTAGCTGAGCAGTTAGTTTGCCTTTGACTTGATGGTCAGATTCCAACTCATTGTCAGCTTTCTGATAGATTCTCTTCTCAAACACCCAACAGCCCATGAGTACCTAGACTACAGGAGGGTTGTACCAACCACGTCCCTGACATAGTCACCTGCCCCGAAGACTAATTTCCCCAGCGACTGTTATTTTACTTCTTGTGTGGCCCCTTTCTCTGCATCCTCATGCCATCATCAGCTAGATGGCCGGAGAGGCTGCTTCTCCACCCCCTCTACTGAATCCCACAAGGTGCTGAAGCCTTTTGTAGTGCTGGAACACCTGCTGGGGCGCGGCAGAATGAGAGCTCTAACCCTGAGTTCAAAACTAAGTGTCTACATTGCTATTTCATGCAGAAGCTTGAACTATAATTATCTTTCAATCTTTTTAAATTATAAAACTCCATCAACATGATGCTTCAGTTGACTACCCCACAATTAACTACAATTAACTTCCAAATAGTGTTGTATCACTGGGCTTCTGACTGTATTCTCTCTCTCCTCCTCGTCCTCCTCCTCCTCCTCCTCCTCCTCCTCCTCCTCCTCCTCCTCCTCCTCCTTTCCTTTCCTTCCTTCTTTCTTTTTTGAGACATGGTTTTTAAGCATAGCCCTGGCTGTCCTTGAACTCTCTCTTTCTCTCTCTCTCCCCCCTCTCTCTTTTTCTCTCTCTACTTGTTATATGCTCTGTAAGACAGATTCTCTATACAATTCAGTCTGAGCTTGGGTTTGAACTTTATGGTAAGAGTTTCTCCTTGACCATTCTATTCTCTTTAGATTAGAACTATAATTTCATCTTCTTTCTGCTTGAGGTTATTTTTGTTTTACGAGGTCATTTTCACATAAAGAAGTAACATGGTCTCAATTCTCTCACTCTGTTGCCAAGTTGTTCTATGTTCATGCTCAAAACATTGTTGCTTCGAAGCATAACCTTCCAAGGAGAATATCTTAGTTAAAATTAAGCTGCTATTTTTTTTAAATGGAACAATCCAAGTGGATTTGCATGGTGCACATGCAGTTTGGCACCTTAGAGAATGCGGGGGAGGGGGGGGGAACATAGCAAATCTCTTCTTTACAAACGTTGCCCTTAAGGGATGAGTTCCTCCAGCCTGCTGCCCATCTTTGGGAAGGCTGAATGTATTCAAGAAAGAAGGATTCTTTAATTCTTGTAATGTGGAGACTAAGAACAGGCTTTATCTCCCCACATTCCTGGCAGAATTTACCAACATCCCTACTGATGGAGGAAGGTTGTCTCGATTCTAGTTCCGTCTTCCTGGCTGTGGACCACTGTCTCCTAGTAGGGCGCAGTTGTCTGTCTCCTGGGCTTGCTCAGTTATGAGAAGAGCTTTGTAAGCCCACACCTGTAAACCATCACACGGATATGATGCGCTGTGATGGCAGACGATGCCGTCTAATAGAAAACTAGGAAATCCATGGCAATGGGTTTAACTAGCTCGTGGGGGAGCTGCTGGTGTCTGTACTTAGCAGGGTCAGGTCTTTTCTCACCTGTTCTGGAGCAGCAGTAACTCTGTTTCCTCTGAGCAGGCTCAGGGTGGTTAGCCTAAGGCTGCCGGCCTACAGGGCAAACCGCTAATGAATAGTTGGCACATTAAAAAAATGATATAATAGACTCAATTCTATTTTGATTTCTAGGTTACATAAAATGTCAAATACTTTCCCATAATATAAAATATCTCATGACCACTTTCCTCTTGATCTGAAAATAAAACTCACTCACAGGCATTAATTAATTTTTATTATTAGCACTTCATTCCCGTCTATGGACCAAAAGTTCCTTATCAACATTTCATTACGATTTGAACAGTGACTGCATCAACCATAGTTTTAGGTAATGATGGTGAACCAAATAGCAAAGGGTGGATTAACTGGTCTTGGGAAGAGAGGAAAAAAAAAAAAGCAAAATAAACAACCCCTCCCCCACAAAGCCACAAACTCTGTTTTTGAAAAGACAGTAGGTGCCTCCTGCAGAGTCAGCTATGAGGTGGGCTGCTCATGGGGTTCCTCTCAAAGTCTCACTGTACCAACAGCAGCCTACAGGACAAGAAGCAGAGTCAAACAAAGCTCATGCCCAGAGTCACACAGAAATGGGAACTTCCTGGGCATCCTTCGCTAGATTTAAAAGCAAATGTTTATAAACAAGGTTCTGGATGACTGGATGCGGCGTAGTTTCTTGCACAGTTGGATTTTGTTTAAATCATGATATCAAAGCTTTTAGTGTCCTGCTAAAAGTCAATTATAACTTTTTATTCAGACAGGAACACTGACAGAAGATGGGCTGGACCTCTGGGGGACCGTCCCCACGGCTGGCAACTGGTAGGACTCTAAGATGGGAGATGTGGTGGGGAGGTGAGGGTGCTGATGCTCAAACCCACCCTTGCAGGCTTGAGGAATGAGATTTACACTGGCTCCCATTTAGTCGAAACTGATTCAATTAAATCTGTACCAAATTCTGAGTCAGACAAAAAAAAAGTAGATCTGCAAATTCAGCATGAAAATGGAATAGAATGAGGTAAATGGTTAAGGAATGGAATTAGTAAGACAGAGGATCAAGGAGTTGACTCAAAACCATGCTTAGAGATGGCAAGGCTTCCTGGGTGGCTGGGCAGATGAGTGTGTTCAGGGACCCAGAACAAGGCTCCGCCGCCTTCCTGTGGAACTCACAGTCTAATGAGATGGAAAAACATGAATGGACTCACTTTAGATGTGTAACACAGGCCATGAAAATTATTACCTTGGAGACAGAAAATCAGAATGGGAACAAAATAATAAAATCCCTTGATATAATACATAGTTCTGATTTTCTTATGACAAGTGATGACTGAGGGGAGAAATTCATTTTTTAATTTCAGTGCCCCAATCACGACTCTCTGAAATGACAGCATATGAGGAAGATTTTAAAGCATAGCTAGGTTGAAATTTTACAGACGTGGGCTAAAGGCTGTCGTGGTAAAGCAAAGAAGATAACCATATAGATACATACCCTGGAGCAGAACAGGAGAGGAAAAGGAGAGGCGTCCTTGCTCCTTCTTGCAGGACTGAGGCATGCTTTTGCACCTTCTCAATGGTGATGATGGCTTCTGCCTCTCAGCTTTGATAACCCTACTTCATCTCCAGACAGTGACAGAGGCAGCTGCAGAGTCAGAGAAAGAGCCAGGCTGGTCCACCAAGCTGGCCCTGAGGAGAGGTTTGACACAGGTACCATGCAGTGTTGCAGAGATAGCCCAGGTTGAGCACAAGGAACGACTTGATTTCCAGCTCTATTCATGTGTGTCTATTCCTGCCTGTTCAGATGTATCAATTAGGCCTTTGTCCAGAGACGCAGGTCACCTGTGGTTCAGAGCAATGAAGGAGGAGGATGGTCTTCCCACTCCCATCTTCCTCCCACGGTGCTTGCATGCTGAAGCTTTCGAGGGGTAGAATCAGCTAAACATAATCACTGTTCAGCTTGAAACTAGGAGAGGAAACCACATGATGCCAGGCTATACTGTCAGTGAGGAGAGGAAGCTGAAGTGGAAGGATTGTGGACCACAAGTGTCAGGAAATGGTGGTAGACTCCAAGGAACCGAGGGATGAGAATCAGTTTAAAGGCTCTGCTTGTTTTCCGTGGCTTGGAAACACTAAGCAGGTTCTTCCCTGCCCCAGTTACCTCATGAATCCAAAGGCTTCTTGCTTGGGGCATGTTGGATATTAAAGAGCTCCACGGGTTTCTAGGCAACATCATGAAATTATATAGTGCGCATATATATCTAAGTCCCCTGAAATTTGGTTTGTGACTGACCAGTGGCAATCTATGTCAAAGGGAAAATCCACATCCGACTCAAAGAAGGGTTGTGTAAACATTAGTCTGCAGGTATAGAACATTCCGGTTGAAAATTGAAAATTTTCAGTGAGCAGAGGACCATGAGCAGAGAAATCTCTGAATAAAGAGAGACAACACAAGACGCTTAGCCGAGCTCTAGACTCGGGGTAGGAGGATATTGGCAGGATCAGCAGCTGTAAGAAGAGCTAGAGCTAGGACAGGTAGCCTTGATTGGCAGGGGGCTCGGAATGTGTCCAAGTACTATCCATTTCATCCAAGACATCTGTATGCAGCCCCGGGTATATAGGTACCAAAATGAATATACAAACCAAACACTTACTGATAATGAATCATAAATTTATTTTAAAACTATGCTTTATATACATACAATTTTACCACTTATTAAAAACAAACACAAATTTGCATAGTAAGAATGTGAATGTTCTTGTTTTTAGGTAATGAATTAAATCTTGGTTGAATATTTGATACAGTAGGCACATACTCAGTATTGACGGGCATTTTGTTTATTTTTGTGTGTCTGTGTGGGTGCCTGAGCATATCCATCATGTGTGAACCTGGTACCCACGGAGGTCCCAAGAGGGCATTAGATAATCTTAGACTGTTGTTACTGAGGACTGTGAGCGCCATGTGGGTCCTGGGACCTGATCCCTGGTCCTCTCCTGCCACGATCAGTGTTTTGCTCTTATAATTGTCAATCGTGAGAATGCTGCTTTAGATAAACCCATACTATAAAATGATAGAATTTCAGTCCTGATTCCAAACCAAAGTTCTCTAAATGCTTTTTATAACGAAACACAAGTTCCTAGCAACTCACTTAGCAAACTTTAAAACAAATGTTCTAATAGAATATCACCAAAAGGTATACTACTTTTGTGCATGCTTAGGAATGGCAGCAGGAAAACATTACAATGTCTTTGCTTTACACGAACCCATCATGTTCTGTAGAAGAAAGCTGTGTGTGGAGAAGGCAAGCCCTGCAATTTATAACATAATAGTAGTCTATGTTCCAAGCCTAGGTGTTCTGGGCATTGGTCCTTGATTCCACCTGGTGTACTGGCAGCCACCTGGGCATGTTGTATGTTCAGAACCATGGCTGCAGTGTACGCTGGAGGCAGCATGGCTAAACACTGCACAAAACATCTCGGATTCATTACACATTTGATTTTAAATTAATTTATGGTTGTTGGCATTCAGACACATTTAACTGTCACCCTATTTTTCATAGCTCAAGTTTAAGAAGCAGTGCTAGAGAACATGGGGAGGTCACTGGCATGGTCTAGGGTAAGGTCAGATAGAGTGCTGCCTCAGCAAGATCTAAGGGGCAGATCATGCAAATCTTTTATTGAAAATTAAACATTGTCTTCCAGTTTCCAGGCAGTCCACAGTTTTGCCTCAGGCCAGGCTGTGCCCTGGGGCCCGCTGTGTGCAGCCATGACCAGCTGCCACTCCCTGATCCTTCTCGATGGGACCATCCAAGGAGACCCTTTGGACCTCAAAATGTTTGAAGGCACAGGCTGGGTAAGGTGATGTTGTATCAATCAAACAAATGAGAACTTGAAGAAACCTTTATTGGTAAAACCGGATCCTTTTTAATTAATTTACAAATGGCCATACTTTATCATTAGTCATTGCTATAGATGAATAATATTGCGAATAAGTTTATTTCCCAAATTTTATCAGTATTAGTTCATCATACAAAGTGGTTGGATCTATGACATCTTCTTTAATATCATGTACTCTGATGAGCTTCATATTCCTTTCTCTCTCCTGACCTTACTTGGATTGTCTTCTCTTTGTAAATAGTCTCCTTTGTGTGTTCACATCATAAATACGATTTGTGTGTGTGTCTATGCATGTGTGAGTACAGGCGTGTGTGTGTGTGTGTGTGTGTGTGCTATCTAAGTTTCACACAGGAAAGAAAACATGCAGTCCTTGGCCTTTTGAGTTTGGTTTATTTCATATAATGTGATCGCCTGTTTTATCAATTTTTATTCAAAATGACACAATTTTGTTTTTATGAATGAATAAAACTGAGTAAGTATGCCACAGTTTCCTTATCCACTTATTTGCTGGTGTCCACTTAGTTTGATTCTCCAGCTTGGCTGTTGTAGACTGTGCCGTCACAAACATTAGTGTGTAGATGTCTCTGTGACGTGCTGAAGTAGATTCCTTCAAGGGTGATCTTAGGAGTGATGTAACAGGATCATGTATTAATTCTATATTTAGTTTTTTTCATGAACTTTGATAATGATTTTTAATACTACCGACAGTATATGGAGGTTCCTTTTCTTTCAAATCCACATCAGTGCTGGTTGTGGCTTGTTCTTCCAATTCATAGGCTCTCTTCACTCTTAGTTTTCTTCACTGCACAGAGGCTTGTTAATTTCATGTATTCCCATTTGTCAGTTTTTGCTACTATTTCCTGAGCTGCTGGAACCCTTTTCTGAAAATCTGTACTTTTGTGTAGGTCGTGAAGTGTTTCCCTCCTAGCAGTTCTAAAATTTCTGGTCCTAAAGTCTTCAATGCATTTTGAATCAATATTTTCACCAAGTAGGTGATGGGAATCTAGTTTTATTTTACATGTGTAGATCCTGGTTTCCCAACACCATTAGTCAAAAATATTTTTTTTAGTATTTTTTTTTTCAAAAATCAGAGGGTTGTGACTGGTTCACCGCTAGGTCTTCTCTATCTCTTCGGTCTGCATTCTGTGTAGTAGACAGTTAGTAGACGTAGACATGTGATTACCATGTTGATTCTGTGCAGTAGATAGTTAGTAGACATGTGAGGACTTCGTTGATTCTGTGTAGTAGACAGTAGACATGTGAGTATCATGTTGGTTCTGTGTAGTAGACATGTGAGGACCACATTGATTCTGTGTAGTAGACAGTTAGTAGACATGTGAGGACCACATTGATTCTGTGTAGTAGACAGTTAGTAGACATGTGACGATCACTTTGGTTTTGTCATCGTGAGTCTGCAGTATAATTTGGCATCAGCTTTTGTGACACCCCTAATCTTACTCTTTTCCCCCTTTGGATTGCTTTGACTCTCTGGGGCCTTTTGTGTTTCTGTATGAATTTTAGTATTTTTTTTCTGGTTCTGTGAAGAGTGTCTTCGGAATTTTTATGGAGATCACATTAAATTTGCAGGCTGCCTTTGGTAATGTGACAATGTCTATAATGTTGATTCTGCGTATCAATTAACACAGGAGAACTATCCATCTGGGTTGTTAAAATTTTAATACTGTTTCAGTAAAGTTTAATTTTTTCTTATTTTTATGTTTTATGTATATTTCTATTAGTTCTTAAAAATTCCATTCATAGCCAAGGTATCTTTTGCAGCTGTTATAGATGAGGTTACTTTCTGATTTCCTTCTTGTTGTTGACATCCAGGAAAGCTACTGCAACTTGTTTGTTGATTTTGCATCCTGCTGCTTTGCTGAAATCGCTCATCACATTCAAGAATTTTATGGTAGAGGTATTCAGACACTTCAGTATAGGACCATGCCATTGGGAAGCAGGGATAATTTGACTTCTTCCTGTTTTTATGCCTTTCTTTTTTCTTTTTCTTTCTTTCTTTCTTTTTTTTTTTTTTTGTGATTACTCTAGCTATGACTTCAAGCACTGGATTGAAGGAGAGTTGAGAAAGCACACACTTTCTAGGAGATTCAGTTTTTCCCATTTGATCTCATGCTGGCTGTATGTTTGCCATATGTGGGGGTCTCTGCAAACACCAGGGCCAGCAGAGTGTTGAGGCAGGGGAAGCAAGAAGGCAATCTGGTTCAGCATGACTTAGTAGCTGGTGTTGCTATAAACTTCAAGAGCCTGACATTGGGTCGTTTGTTTTAGGTGTACCTAAGCACAGCACAATTTAGAAAAATTCTTTCTGGTGATGATTAACCCTGTTATGAGTGCACAACAAAGCTTAAGATATGATTACATCAAAACACTTATAAAGTACAAGTAAACTCTTGCACAAAAATGCATTCTATAGATTAAGAAAGCAGGCTCCAGGTAAAAAAGCCCATGATAAGGGTCCGGGGCAAGCTAGTGATATATAGATTGATGGAGTTAAATAAATTCAAGATATGGGTCTAGGGGAGTCAGGGGCAATGTGCAGAGGTCACCAAGCTATTAGCCCCATCTGTTCCCAGAAGGTTTCCTTATAGTTATTGTGAGCACAAAATGCTATGCAGCTCCTACAGTCATACAGCCACTATTTTGCTCAAGTATGTTTGTTTTGTTCCTGGTTTCATCAGAGCTGTTATCGTGAAAGCCTGCTGAACTTTGTCAAAGGTCTTTTCTACATCTGTTGAAATAAGTGGCTTTGGTCCCTAGTCCATCTGTGCTTTTTACATTTACGGATCTGTCTGACTAACCATCCACACATCTCTAGAATGAAACAACTTCAATATAATATACAATCTTTCCAATGTCTTTTTTGATTGGGTTTACAAGTATTTTATTGATAATCTTTGGAATCAGATCAGAGAAATGGACCTGTAGCTGGATAAACTTTTTATTTGTTCTTTAGACACTGTTATGCTAACACGAGCTTCACAGAATTAATTCACTTGGCTTCCTTTTCTTTCTATGGTATGGAATAGTTTGAGGTGCATTTGAGTCAGTTCTTTAAAGGTCTAACAAAATTTGGTAGTGAGCTAATCTGCTCTGGACTTCTCTTAGTTGGGAGACTTTTTTGTTGCTGTTCAATTTGTTGATTGTCATGGATTGGTATAAGTTGCTTACATGTTTATAATCTATTGATTTAACATTGGTAGGTCATAAATGTCTAGAAATTGACCTATTTATTCTAGATTTTCCATACTATTGATATTAAAACATATTTTCAAAGCATTTCTTAGTGATCAGATTTCATTAGAATTTGTTGTAACCACTCCTCTTCATCTCCACTCTTATTAATTTGGATCTTTTATTTCTGTCAGTAGAATTTAACTAAGGCTTTATTGAACTTGTTTATCTTTTCAAAGAACCAATCCTTTGATTTTTTTTTAACTCTCCTTTAATCTTCATTTTATTGACTTCAGCTCTACCCTTATAATTTAATACCTGGCTCCTCCTCCTCCTCCTTCTCCTCCTCCTCCTCCTCCTTTTTCTTCTTCTTTTTTTTTTAAAGAGGCAAACCATTAAGTTATGTACTTGAGGTTTCCCTGTTTTTAAAGTGTAGAACATCATACTAATTCGTGTCCATTAGAACTAACTTTTTTATGTCCTAAAAGTTACAATAAATCGTGTTTTTATTTTTATTGACTCTGAGAATTTTTTAATTTCCTCCCTGACTTTTTCAGTGACACATTGATCATTCAAGGGAGTACTATTTATTACCCACACATACGTGTAGCTTTCCTTGCTATTGATTTTCAGTTTTATTCTACTGTGAGCTTATAAAACTTAAGAAATGTAGTTTATTTATCAAGACTTGCTTTATGGCACAAAATAAGATCTGTTTTTGAGAACGTTCCATGGGCATTGACAGCAGCGCATATTCACAGCTGATAGGTTGAGTGTTCTGTAGATGTCTGTTCCATCAGTCCATTTGATCTGTCTGGTTTACGGTACAGTTGAACAATGAACTGTAGACTTAACTATTGATGAGAGCAGTGAATGGAATCAATGCAGTCTTATTGCATGTGGCCCTATGTGTCTTTTGATGCATGTTTTATGAAATAAGGTGCCTCAACACTGGACCTATAGCTTCAAATTTTTCATCTTCTTAGCAGATGTTTTCTTTTAGTAACATGTAGTGACATCCTTTATCTCTTCTTACTAATTTTGGTTTGACATCTAGTTTGTCAGGTGTAAGACTGGCTAATTCTGCCCGTTTTCAGCATCTACTTGATGCAGGGTTTAAAGTCTTCCAATCTTTGATGCTCAACTTTTCTGTGTGTTTGCCAGTGAACGGTGTTTCTTGCAACCAGCAAACGGTTGAATCTTGTGTTCTGATTCCATCATCTAGTCTGTGTCTTTTAATTAGAGAGTTAAGGCCATTAATATTTGGAATTATTATTGAGATATACTTGCTATTTCCCATAGCTTTTTAAATTCTTTTTCTATTTATTTTCATGGGGCGATGGAGCTTGCTGGCTTGTTGAACTGGGTGTGTTTGACTCTTTCCTAGTTTTTATTTATTTGTCTGTTCTTCCCATGAAATTTTCTCTTCCTTGTGCTATCATGTTGTAATTATCTTTCTCCTTTGTATGTAGAATTATTATAAATATTCTCTGTAATTTTGACAAAGTGGCTATGGAATGCCTTAGTTTGTATGTATCTTGGGATGTCTTGATTTTTCCTTTAAGTTAAAAAGTAATTCTACTCTATGTAATAATTTTGGTTGGATATTTTATGCTTCAGGGTTTGAAATACTTCCTTTCCTGCTTCAGGAATTCTACTGAAAAGTTTTATCTATTCCGCTAGTTCTGCTTTTGCTAGTAAGTTGAAATTTCCCTCTTGCAACTTTTAATATTGCTTCTTCCTTCTGTCTTTTTGACATTTTCATAA